ATTTTTGTGCGCGTAGTATGTCTGAATATAAAACCCCAACACAGCATGTCTCAGCTGCATTGCTCTTGTGTCCATGAGCATGCGATGCACATTAGAATAGCTTAAAATTTCAGTGTTTTCCCATAGGTTTATATGAGCTTTAGATCAATGTTTTGGTGGTGGTCTAGTAGTAATGGTCGGGGGGTTGGGAGGGCAGACATTAAGCTTTATTTCCGTATCCAGCGAGTTTATCTATTCTGATTTTTCAAAGATTTGGTAAATTGTATTATTATAATAAAACAGACATTTAACAAATATATGAACATTAATAACAATGCAAACGTGCATCTTACAGCATTAAATTGCAACTTTTGACTGCTTTGCAGCCTTTACACGAAATATGAATTATTTAAGTAGTATTAAACTCCCATACTGTAAAGAAATGAGTTTTAACTACAACTATGTAATCTGTTACATGTTGGATGTTCATATGTTAAAACCAAGCGGGAAGCTTCCGATCTGCGATCTGATGCGAATGCGGAAGTCCCTGAAACCTGTATTCTATCGAACGGCCAGCAGGGGGCGACTCTTCTGGTTGCAAAAAGAAGTCTGGTGTTGGTACCAGATGTACTCGGGTGGTCAGATCAATAGTATGAAGCTGCAGTACCGGAGGCTGCAGTTTCAGGACCCCCGCAATCCTGGGACCGCAGTTCTAGGACCCTAGTTGTTTTGCGACAGTGCAGTCTAGTGGAGTGGTGGTAGTAATGCACAGCAACACGAAGGAGGTTAACCCTGTCTCACGGCCGACCTGCGCAGCTGTAGGGTTAACCGGTCGACATACATATAATCAATAACTTAGGTTTAGGCACACACTCGGTGGTGGTTGTGGTAAGGGTAATTGCCTTCAGGGGGCTGTAAAGAGCAACATAGCTAGCTAGCTGGCAGTATCAAAGTAAACAAGGGTCCTGGAATTGCAGTTCCAGTCCTAGGATTGCGGTCCTGAAACTGCAGCCTCCGGTACTGCAGCTACATGCTATTTGGTCAGATCTGCTCAGGGGCCTGCGCCTGCTGGTAACGTCACACAACGTGATTGTTTGTATGATGACGTGGCAGATGGTGATTGGCTGTATGTCGTAGTGTTTACCGATACTAGTTTTCGGTGAGTTAATATTACGACGCTATAATGCACTTAAGCTAATGTGTGTGTGTGTGTGTGTGTGTGTGTGTGTGTGTGTGTACGTTATTGCCATATTGCCAAAGTAAATTTGAAATAAAAGAAAAAATATTTAATAAAGACCCCCTAGAAGATCTGATACCTACATTTATTACCGGGGGACTATGTAGTTTGTCCGAGTAGTTTAATTTAGCTACCGTTAGCTTAACTTGATCGGCAGCTAACATTGGCCTTGTAACATTAATACACGTTACGTTATGTGATGTTATCAACAGGCGCAGGCCCCCGAGCAGATCTGACCACCCAAGCACATCTGGTACCTACAACGGTGCCATTAGAAATAATTGTGAAATGACCCTACTTCTCAGCTGAATAATTATCTCAGTAAACACTTTCCTGATGAATTTATGGTCTCAGTCGCTAGTTTCAAGTCTTCTTCAATACAAAATGATGTTGATTTAGTAAATAATGGTTCCATTTATTTTAAAATAGACCAAGAGTTTCAGGGCGGGATTATCTATGATAAGTCGCTACGTAGCGATCACCATTAATACAGCTTACACCCAATATCACTGTACTGCTACAAGTACTAGTATCACCACCACAAGTTTCAAACCAGGAAAATGTGTACAAGCTAGTAAAACAATACAGAAGGCAACAACATAATAATATTCTGTCCCCAGGAACGCCTGAGGAGACTCAACCACAATGTGGTCAAGGAGACGGCACGAAGAAAGACCATGCTGGAGGCTTCAGGAGTGTTCACCTCTCGCTCCCCCAGTAAACCCTGAGCTGCACAGCAAATACTGTGAAGTGTCCTAACAAGGAGGGACACATCAAAACAGGAGACTGTGACACCAGGAGGACAAGTCTTCCTTTGACATTTAGTTAACTGCAACATGCCCTGCACTGCTTTGTCTGATGCTGTCATAACAAAAGTCCAGGTTGCTGTCTGCTTAGCGTGAGGCAGCTGCAAATAGCTTATTGTCTAATCCTCTGGCAAAATACATAATACATCATAATACATTCTACCTTACACACATGTGGTGTGTGCGTGTCCCTGAATTCTGATAGACATTTGTTAATAATTCATTGATTCAACAGATAAGTACTTCTACCCATGACCAAAATGTTAAAGACTTGTGTCACTCAGCACGCAGGATAGATGACGACACTTGGCCTGAGTAGTCTTGTGGACCAATAACAGATGCTTGTTTTGCTGCTGGAAGCATTGTCCTAATGTTAAAATAGGTTGTTTTCATGCTTCTGCTCTCTGAATTTGGAAGATGGTTGTTCACAAACGTGAGCTGAAATTAGCTCTCTGTGAAGTGAAAGTTAAAGGGGCTGTTACTCTGTCACTTAGCATTTGACTAGCTTAGCTGTGGTTTAGAACTGGTCCAGCTACACCGGACCTCTCAGGGGATAAAGTGTAGCAGCCTGCTGAAATGTACACAACAACAACCTCAACATCCCATGAATGTATCAGAGAGCTATAATACATCCATGAGTGCACTAGGAGTAGGTGCCTGATAGCTAAGCAGCATGCACTGGAGCAATAGAATTATCACTGTTGGGACTGGTGTTATTGTGTTCAGCAATTTTCCACTGTTGCTCACATCTCCACATTGTTGTACAATTAGTCAATACACAAGTGAATGTGATTACGCTGCAAGTGATGTGTGCATCATTATTTAGATTCTCACCTATGAGAGTCATTTGATGACCCAATGCAACATTGATAATAGATTCAGTTGCCCAGGAATCCCTTAAGTGAGAAGCTGTCGTCCTGCTTTGTTTTTTATTATCTGAAAACCTTATCTTGACAGGACATGACTACCTGCACTTGTGATAGTAATATTAGCATTATTCTATACTATTGAGTATGGTCTGATAATACATGCATAATTCTTTATTCCTGGTTTGTTTCTCAATTACTGGCAAGCTGACCACATGTCCATCTTGCAGGCACTGGGTTGGTCAGATAATCAGTAACTCCCTTTCTGACATCAAAAGTGAATAGGGGAAGAATTGTAATTATATAAGTTTGCCACTTGGTACTAGTGTGGCCTTTAAAATAAAACACTTAGAAATTAATAAAATGATCTGAGCTGCTTAAATGGAAGTTTGCGTAAATTGGGGCTGTGGCAGGTTTAAGGTTAACCTCTTACTCCACTGAGGACCACTCCACTGACCTTTTACAGGAGTTTAGCTGATTTCTACAGGACAGCAGCTGGTTCAGACTAAACCACAGGTGCAGCTTAAACTGCATATTCTGAGGACACAGCTAACAATGGGGTTTAAGTAACCATGTAACTATGACCCAGCAAAAAATACTAATAAATTGGTTTATGATGAAAATGAAACCTACTGTGTAGAATGTTGTCTCCATAATAATGCAAAATAATGCCTATAAATGCTTGTGATTTTCAGTGTGTACAATATACATTTCTTCTCAGTGAATGTTTATAAAATATACATTAACATCATGTTCTTATCTTTTTGAGCTTGTGGACTGATTGTTTCTGAAATTACTCATTTGTCATCATGCTGATGAAAATAAGGCAAAGCCTGGAATGTTTATGTGAAGGCAGTGGCAAGAATGTGAAACATAATGATGATTTACTTGTTCTTAGGGCCTTACAACAATGGGGTCCAGAGGGTGGCGGTAGAGCAAAGGCCATAGGATCATTAAAATAGAAAGTGATCATGCCAATGGGAGCATTAACGTGCTCTGCAAATTTCATGGCAATCTCGCTGCTAACGCTCCATTTTACCTGTTCATTTCCCAATCATTTCTTGAATGTTAGTCATTTGTGGTTAACTTTAGGTTAAACAGTTTAGACAGTTGTGTTGAGTTTAAAAGCAGTTTCTTTGTTTACTTGTTGAATTAAATGTTTGCCTGTTGACAAATCACACATTTCCATGTTCAGATGACCTGCTGTGACTTGACTAAATAGGTTACTTGAGCCTAGCAATGAATTGGAAGTGTACCGATTTATTTATTTTACTATTTATTACCAAATTACTATTTATTTACAGGATACATTGAAGAAATTATTAGAAAGTATACAGGCCTGCAAAATATAGAGCTACCATCTGGCCATTGTATGACAGATGCTTTGTCTGCAAAGTTGTGACATATTGGAATGGTCACCAAAGCCTTGAATGAATGTACATATATCATGGAAAACCATTAGCCAAGTCTTGGTCTAAGAAAATGTTTACTGACAGTTGCACTAGAGGAAAGGGCTCACCAACATCACGAGCAATCATCCTGTGAGGCCTATAAGCATCAGTACTATATTTTATTATGGTCTGGTGGACTCAGGGCTGGGACCACACATGGTGCCTTTGGTAACATTAAGAATTTCAGTATTTACAATCAATGTGGATCTCTTCATCCTCTTGAAAATAATTTTCCCACTGAATGACTTGATTAGAACCTGAGGATAAGCATGGTTTGTCATAGAAGACTGAAGTAATACATTTATTCTGTGAACACTTGAGGGTGAGGGGCCAGTCAAGAAAAGCTGGAGAAACTGTGTACTAGTGGGTAGAAGCCTGATACAGTAGTAGTTTTCTTAAGCATGTCAACTTTGACCATAGAAGAGCCGAATGTTTCTCACAAAACAGTTGCAGTTCGTGTGTGTGTGTGTGTGTGTGTGTATGTTGGGGGCGCTAATCTCAGCGGCGCCACCTTAAAAAAACAGTCTCGCGGACCTGTCAATCTAGACGAACCAGACAGACTCTGGCTCGCGGCCCTGCTGTGAGAACCGCTACATGATTGGCCGAGAGCCGTAGCCACTGTGAGACCTGGCTGTCCATTGGCTGCAACATGTCGCGACACAGACGCGCACGACGTCTCCCTTCTATTGTTATTGTGGCGTGCGCGAGAGGAACGGACAGGATGCACGAGGAGACAGTGGGGCTGATAAAAGGATAAAACAACGGAGAAACATGAAGCTAGCGCGGCGCAACGTATGACAAATTCGCATTAGCTCATTCCATTACAGGAATTCCCAAAAACATTAACGTCACCGTGTAAGCACAGAGCAACACAGGTCTAATACAAAGGGTATAAACACAGTTAGCAGCTGTGGTCAACACACACAGCACGTAACGTTAGAGCTATCGGAGGACAACACTTCAGCACTCTTTCTATCCAAGTTGTTCCCTCCACTCCGGCTGATGTGTAAGTAGAAACAATTCCTCTCAATTTTCCTGCTTTTGCCAGTACTGCAACCAGACCCGAACCGAGAACAGGAGGGGGAAGTCAGTCAGATTATTTTACTGTAACCTGCTTTTAGCCGCAACAAACGCTGTTCTGCTGCTCAGTCTTCAGGGTTAACGTTACTCTTCGTACTGGCCGTTTTGTTCTGGGGTTTCGATCCCGTTAGCTCATTTTTCTTACTCCCTACTGTTCGTTCAACTCGAAGCAGCCAGATCCTGCCCGCGTAGACATGAATGTAGTCTCTTAAAACCTAACGTTATATATGTATTGATTTATTAGAAGAGCTGCATGGTTCGTGACGCATGTTAAGCATCATGGGATGTCAGTGGAGTGAATGTATGGCCTGGAAACGGCTCAGCTTGTGTTATACAGACCGGTAACAGGCAGTCTGGCTGTTTGCCTGACAAATCCCACTGACGGAAGTTTTCAGTGTGGTGTCCTCTGGGTTCCAGATTGCTTAGAGACGTTGGGGCCTGTGTGATGAACAGTATTACTAAGAGGAGACATGGACGGAAGGTGTGGTGTGTGTGTGTGTGTGTGGTTGGGAGGTGATGTATAGCAACAGTTACTTGTGACTGCATGTATGCCTATGTGCTGTATGAGTTATTATGCTATAATAAATGGCCATGATGCAGAGCATCCTATCTTGTGGTTTGTGCATCATTAAAAAGGACCGTTTTCTGGTCTCACTGTACAACATGTTTGTAAATGTGCAATTTCAAAGATATATGTTACATGTATGTTAGGCTGTGATCTCCCAGTACTTGACTTGAGTATATTTCTTTTATGCTACATTATACTTGAGCTCAACTACATTTCAGATCGTAATATTGTATCAATCACACCACCATAATTTTTTTTGATTAATCAATTAAAATGTCATGCCCAAGGTGACATCTTCAAATTGCTTGTTATGTCCAATGAACAGTACAGAATACCAGGAGAAGAAGACCAATTATAATTTCCTTAAATTTACTTTTGGTTATGTGAATAATTCTCTGTTTATCTGTTGAACAACTAATTGAGTAATTGTTTCAGCTCTAATTACCTATGCAGAAAGTGGCACCTGGAATGTTTGATAACTGCACAGAGACCTACATGTGAGGCTAACGTCAACAGGTCCCACTCTCAGCAGGGAGCACAGGAGCCCTACCAGTGACCTGACAGAAGGCGTCTGTCTGCCTCCATTTTTCTTAGTAGACAGTATAGCCACAGTGAAAATCAGCTCATACATGTAAACACACTGGCATGCGCAGATGAATCTGCACAATGGTTAAGTTGGCCAGCAAGTTTCCCTTGATGTAGGTCCCTATGCAGTTGTCCATCATGGCCATTCCAGGGTGCTACTTTCTGCATTTACTTTGGGTTGGTCTTAGAGAAAAGTGTTTGAAATGACTGACGTAAAAATCAGGTTAATTTGGTGAGGTGTAGGAGACTCGCATAGCTCACCTAGCTATATGTTGTTTTGATTTCTCACATCTCTACAACAGAGTTGGGGAGTGCCAAGTTTACACGACCCACAGAGTCACAATGGTCACATTTGTGGGCAATACACCAGGCTCAAATATATACTTTCAAATGCTGCTTACATGTAAATGCATCTGTAGCAAAAACATTTTAAATTAAATATTGTCGTGCTGCATTAATATCCTGGCCGACACATCATATTCCACAGACTTAAAAAAACATCTTTCTTAGGTACCTCCAAAATTCAGACTATAGTAATGTTTTTCAATGGAAATGAGAATAATGATAAAAATGATGATAAGCCCTAATTTAAGTAGATTTTGCTGATAATACTAATGTACATTTATTTGAAGGGATAACCCACCAAATGTACTCACTTTAGTCATGGTGAGTACTACTTAGTCGGGGAAAACTGTTGCATTATATATTCTGGAGGACCCTTCCAAAGTCTGAGGGAAACCTGAGTGATGTCATCAAGTTTGGGCTTGCAGAATAACAGAAATAACAGAAAGCCTGTGTTATTAACTGAGCGTGTGAAGTTTGAAAGACGAGGACGTTCACCTGGCACCTTACCAGGAACCAAAAGTCTGCTGCTTTGATTTTGCCCATTCTTTTTTATCTGTCTCTCAAAAGGACAGTCCTAAATTGCTGAACATATTTTACTTTAGCAAAGGTAAATGATTTGTCCCTGTTTCTGAAGAGCGATCGGTGAATGTTGTAGTTGTAAAGCTTTGATGGATTTGCACATTTAACTGGCGTCCACTAATTCCTGGTCTTCCTGATCTACTAACAGGGACTGATTCAGAGCTGGGCCATCATGATGCCAGTGAACTTTCTGGTCACTCATTGGCAGACCAACTTAATACGAGGTAAGTGAGAAAGCAGCATCTATGACAGCTCTCACTGACTGTAATACCTTCATTCAACTGACTAAAGCTAATAGCAATGTGGCACCAGCAAAGTGAGGTCTGTGTTCTACTTCAGTTGTCTTGGCTGCACGACCTGGCTCCCAACCAGGGTTCTACATGGATGTGAGACTGTTTTGTGGATACTGGTTTGATCCTGTGAACATAGATTTCCGGAATAACTAAAGTGTAACTAGTGAATAATTAGATTATGATAGAGATGTACAATTAATTGAATTTTATTTTCAGTTATGATTTTGGCTTAGAACAATTATGAAATCAAGCTAATCTAGATAAAATTATTATTGTGCTCCATTCTGTTTGCAATGGTGCTCTGGTTTTGCCTGGTGTTCCTTTTCCTTTACAGCACCTCTCCCTGAAACCCAAACTCTGTCTCAGCCAGACTGTGGCAGGTTTAGCTCCAGCCGAGATGATGTGGGGTTATAACTGCTATTACTTGCTAGTCACCATTTTTAGCTTAAGCCTTAAGGCGTTATTTATACTTTCCTTGGTTTAAGGGTGCTTTCACTCCTGCCTCATTTAGTTTGGCTGAATCGCACCAGAGTTAGTTTTCCCCCTTGGTGCAGTTCATTTGGGCAGGTGTAAATGCAGCAATCGCACTCGGGTGCGCAACAAAACCAGACCAAAAAAGCATACAGAGACCTCCTTGAAGAGGTGGTATGCTTTCAAATGGATGCGGTTCACTTGTGGTGTGAAAGCAAACGAACCAAACACAGGATTTTATGATAGCAGAGATGTGATCTGAGCATTATTTCCAAAGCTGAGACACTAATAAATCCATCTGCTGACCGCGAAATGTGTTCAGCGATCTTATAATTGATCTGTATAAGCCATGTATGGGCTATGTTTATGAAAATCATTTGGTAACATATACTTGTCAGCCCGGGTATTTTTGCTGATTAATAGGTTAAATACCTAATCTGTTAAAAATATCTGCATAAACTTCTGTTAGTCACCAGAGTTTTATATCCCCATGTGGGTACTGATGTTACAGGATGACAATCGCCAAAGCTGTCCAATCAACCAAGTTATCTGTAAGTCTGTAAAACTTTATGGTTACTTCTCTTGGTTTGTTTGTAAAACTGCAGTGTGAACATGAACCAGACCAGAACTAAAATGCAGCAGTGTATCAATTTTTTCACTTGGTCCGGACCAAACGAACCAAACTACAGGTGTGAAAGCACAAGTCACTGCGTCTCCCGACAGAATTTCCATGTTATGTAACATAACAAGTTGTCCACCCCCCGAGCAGTCAAACTAGGGGGAAAACCGCATTGCTGTCATCCTTTGCGCACCAAGATACTGTTTAAAGTTAATATATTAATGTTCATATTTTAAGCATTTTAAGAACCTGTTGGCTTAAAGAGGTGGTATTCTGCTCATTTTCAGGTTCAAAATCCTATTTAGTTGTTGTACCAGAACAGGTTTACATGGTTAAATTTTGAAAAAACACCATAATTTTTTCATACTGCACATTGCTGCAGCTCCTCTTTTCACCCTGTGTTAAAGCTTCGTTTAGCTATGGAGTGATACATCTTGTCTCTAAATGATCTTTGTTGGGAGTTGCACATGCGCAGTTCCTAGTTAAGGACTACTAGCCAATCAGAAGCAGAGAAGGGCGGGTCAGCGAGAAGCAAACACGGCTTCAGTTCAGCTGTACATGTTGCCGACCAGCTTGGCAACATGGACTGGGGCAAGAGTTTCAGAGTGGTGAGTTATTAATCTGTAACAAATGTATCTTTCATCCATAAAGTTTTAACTGAGCTCTGTTTCTACATCACAGTAACAACTTTATGTCCATTGACTGCCTGGAGGGTAGCTAGCGTTTGGAAGGGAGAAGAGAGGTGTGCTGCAGCTCACTGTTTTTCCACTTGTGTTTTTGAGGGTGTGTCGGAGTAGCCGCTTGGCGAGTGTTATATGAGGCACATTTAGCTTTCATCCCTGTGTCGTCACAAGGATGAAAGGGAAGCGGCTGGACTACAAACGAGCTGTTTTCAGGCAGTTCAGAGCAGAGTTTTCTGTGGGAGATGGGAACTCCCTTTGGGCTGGACTTTGGGCTTTTTCACTTTGCAAACCTGTTATATGCACAAAAAAGGTTTATAACTCAAAGGAGAGGGAAAAAGCATAATACCACCACTTTAATCACTCACTTTTTGAATTCGCCTCCTTCAGTTCTCTTCACACTCATAGACCTAACGTACCTCTTCTGCAAACACTTCAGCGTTCCCTGCTTCTTATGCCGTTTTTCCATTACCAGTACCAGCTCGACTTGACTTGGTTTGGCCTTCCTCTGTTAAATACCCAGAGAAAGCATCCCTCGATGTAGCTGGTCGTCATAGTGACGCCACACATAATTGCCGCTACGTAATTTCCAATGCGACACACACCAGCGACGCACAAACAGCTGTCTCTTGATTTAAGTTTAAACATTACTTAGAATGTAAAGACAGATAAGATGGAAGTGATGCAAAAAAAAGTACCAGGTAGCAGGTACAAGTACAACTTTTACACATTGGAATACCAAAAAAAGGTGAGTAGAGTCAAGGTGAGTCGAGCTAGTACCGTGCAGTGAAAAAGGGGCTTTGCCGTCTCTCACTTCCTGTATTTCCGCTTGGGTGACTTTCTTTATCAGTAGTAGGCTAGGCTGTATAAAGTCACTGAATAAAAAAACAGAACGATAGTTACGTATTGTAACTCCAGATTCTATGAGTATAGGCGCAGCCCTCTAAGGCCATAGTTATTGGGTTTGCCCCCTACGCGCGCCTGTGCAGCACTGATAAATTTTAGTCTACGCCCACCCACAGCGTGGACCTCTCCTACATCCGCAACTTGTATATAAACAACGGTGAGACCCAGCCATTGGCTCCCATTTTTCTTCAGCACTGAGCTGTCTAAAGAGTAGAAGATTGTCTAAAGAGCAAAAGACTTTCCAGCCGGAAAATAAGAAGAACGATGTGCCCACGTTCAAACCAGCCACACCAAGCACACATTTCCCACACTGTGTGAGCCAGCTGCCGTTAGCCAAGTGGCTAACCTGCAGCTTGAAGCTCAAAGCAACAAGCAGTACAAGATCAGAGGTCCCTCCCCACAGAAACTGTATGAGCCCACGACAGCGGACATTCGCTTCGTGTGGACAGAACATATACACGCCCGGTACAGATATTTTTCTGACGAAGAAATCTGTCGGGCAGTATGTGATGCTGATAACATTATGCACGTTCCCCCCGGCAGTGGGCATCCGATCCCTCTGTGCGTCCAGGGGTTCCCCCTTGGTTCGCAGAAGCCAGGCTGTGTCAAATGAGCCCTTGAAGCGGTCATTACGCTTCATGCAGACAGGATAGCACTACACACCACCCTACGTGTAGTGTTGCACACGCCATCCCCCCGCCCCCAGAGCCTGGCTGCAGGCTCGTGCGTGACCACAGCATTACCGACGCAGTCCCTCCTCCTACATCCAGAGGTGTGTGACAGGCTGTGTTGTGCGCTGTACATGTGTGATGTACGGCATCAAGTGTGTGCCAACACGTTACGGCAGGTGACAGTGACGCTGGAGAGAATTGTGTTTCTTGTAAACTGCAAAGTCTTATGCTTTACAGACAGCTTCTCTCGCTTATGAAGAAGCTGCTGTTTCTCACTTCTCACTTGCTGAATGTGGTTGCTGACGTACTGCGGTAAGCGTAAATGTAAATGCTCCGTACTTGTATAGTCTTATCGACTACTCAAAGCGCTTTTACACTACATCTGCATTCACCAGTCACACACATTCATTCACTGAGCCTAAGTGCTCAAACAGAAACTAACATTCACACACATTCATACACTGGCGGAACAGCCGCCAGGGGCAATTCGGGGTTCAGTTTCTTGCCCAAGAATACTTCGACATGCAGCCTGGAGGAGCCAGAGATTGAACTGACGACCTTCCGATTGACGGGCAACCCGCTCTACCTCCTGAGCCCCAGCCGCCCCAGTGTGTTGACTCATTTCCGTTTCTGGTGCTTGTGTGTTGGGAGCGTGTTGTGCTGCTCTTGCTAAATACCAGTTAAATTTGTTAGATTACAGCGGCTAACTGTCCGCTAAACACTTATTCTTACAGTAATTTTGCCTAAGCACTCACAGTTCTTTCCATCTTTTAGTGCTGTAGCCGTCCCCCGGCATCTCCTGAGCAGCCAGGAAGGGGTGGCTGGGTGACTGTCCGAAGGAGGAATAGTCATAAGCATCCAAAGCCCATGGGGCACCACCAACCTCTTCACGTCTCTAACAGATTTTCCTCACTCAGCGACACACCCGCTGAGAAACCAACTCTGATCATTGGCAGCTCCATTTTGAGAAACGTGAAGTGCATCCCTGGGGCCAGAGCGGGCGACATTGAGTCTTATTTGAAACTGCTGGCTAAGGATAAACGTAAATAAAGTAAGATTGTTATTCACGTCGGCGGTAATGACTCCCAGTTACGCCAATCGGAGGTCACTAAGATTAATGTTGAGTCGGTGTGTACACTGCAAAATCTGACCAGTGATGGCATGTCGTCATTCCGCCGCTGGTTGTCGAGGTGGTGTCCAGCAAACGATGTGGGCTTTGTAGATCATTGGCAGACTTTCTGGAGAAGACCTGGTCTGATTCGGAGAGACGGCATCCATCCCCCTTGGGAAGGAGCAGCTCTCATTTCTAGAAATCTGGCCACGTTTATTAGTGGACCAAATCCATGACAACCCAGAGTTGAGACCAGGAGGCAGAGTCGCAGTTTAACACACTTCTCTGCCCTTCTTTTTCAGCAGTTACCCACCCAAAACCCTACGCAGAGTCGCAGTCTAACACACTTCTCTGCTCCTCCATTTCAGGAGTTACTTAGTGAAAATCCTATAGTGACGGTGTCTGTCCCCCGACCATTGAAATTATTTAAAAAGGTAAACAGAAGAGGAGCTGTGCATAAAAACCTCATAAAAATTAAAACCACAAGAGCAATAGTGCAAACTAATAGGAAAATTAAATGTGAACATCAGATCTCTCTTTTCTAAAGGTGTACTAGTAAATGAACTAATATCAGATTATGATATTGATTTATTTTGTCTTACTGAAACCTGGCTGGGTGATGGAGAATATGTTAGCCTAAATGAATTCACCCCTCCCAGTCATATTAATACTCACATTCCTCGAGGCACAGGCCGAGGAGGTGGAGTTGCAGCTATCTTCGACTCTAGCCTACTAATCAGCTCTAAACTAAACTATAACTCATTTGAAAGCCTTGTTCTTAGTCTTTCACACCCAATTTGGAAATCACTGCAACCAATTCTTTTTGTTATAGTGTACCGAGCACCTGGCCCGTACTCTGAATTCTTATCTGAATTTGCAGAGTTTTTGTCAACTTTAGTCCTTAAAATGGACAAAGTTATTATTGTAGGGGATTTTAATATTCATGTGGACGTTGAGAATGACAGCTTTAGTACTAGTGTTTAGTGTTAGTAGTAGTGTTTATCTCTCTGGTAGATTCCATTGGCTTCTCTCAGAGTGTTCACGAACCGACTCACTGTTTTAACCACACCCTCGACCTTGTTTTGGTGTATGGTATTGAAATTGAACATTTAATAGTGTTTTCACAGAATCCCTCTTTGTCCGACCTGTTTGATAACTTTTGAGGTTGTATGCGAATGACACTCGACTCTGTAGCCCCTCTAAAAAAGAAAATACTAAAACAAAGACGGTTAGCTCCATGGTATAATACTGAAACTCACAAATTAAAGCAAATATCGCGGAAACTTGAGAGGAATTGGCGTTCCACCAAACTGGAAAATTCTCATTTAATTTGGCAAGATAGTCATAAAACTTATAGGAAGGCCCTCCGTAATGCTAGAGCAGCGTACTACTCGTCATTTATAGAGGAAAATAGGAACAACCCCAGGTTTCTTTTCAGCACTGTAGCCAGGCTGACAGAGAGTCACCGCTCTATTGAGCCTAGTATTCCCATAGCTCTCAGTAGTTACGACTTCATGAGCTTCTTTAATGATAAAATTCTAACTATTAGAAACAAAATTCACCAAGACCTGCCCTCAACTTGCACCGACTTATCTCTTAACTCAGGAACCTTAGAAACAGCATTAGAACCAGATACATGTTTAGACTGTTTTGCTTCCCTCAACCTTTACCAACTAACTTCAATAATTTCTTCATCTAAACCATCAACCTGCCTCTTAGACCCCATCCCGACTAGGTTGCTTAAAGATGTTTTACCCTTAGTCAGCACTTCTATACTAGATATGATCAATCTATCTTTATCAACAGGCTATGTACCACAGTACTTTGCACAGCCAGTGAGACGCCTGTCTCACTGGCTGTGCAATGCCATTTCCCAGGCTTACGTGTCTGCCGGTGAATCTCCCCTGGATGGCATCAGAGTGCACTCCACGAGTGGCGTTGCACAGTGGGATGACAGTGGACGACAAATGCACGGTGGCCTCCTGGTCGTCCCCATGCTCTTTCGTCCGTTTCTACCTGCGGGATGTCTCCCTTTTCTCTCTGACTCACTCAGTACTGAGTGTTTTGGGTGAGTGATTCTCCTTGTGAGTGTGCAGTGCGCCGTCTCCCACGGGACGGTGTGGGGGTGCGGCCGCTGCTTACGTGGCCCTGCCTTGTGCGAGCCGACTGGGTGGCTCATTATGGCTCTGGGCAGGTGAGTTGTGCTTGGTGGTACCGTATGGTCCAGTGAGGCGTTGACTCATCCTGCTTCGCCTCTAACCCAATAGCGATAGCCTTATAGGGCGAAGCCTATACGAAATAGAACAGGGGTTATGTATAGGCGCAGCCCTCTAAGTTGAAGGCCTCACTGGACCTTGGTTCTCAGTGCTGAAGAAAAGGCTTTTGGGAGCCGATGGCTGGATCTCACCATTGTATATATACAAGGTGCGGACGTAGGAGAGGCCCACACTGTGGGTGGGCATTGACTAAAATTCTCAGTGCCGCACAGGCGCGCAGAAGGGGTAAACCCAATAGCGATAGCCTTAGAGGGCGAAGCCTATACTCATAGAATCCGGGTTACAGTACGTAACCCCCGTTTTCCATTGCAGATAGTACCCAGAGATGCACACAGCTTTCTCTTTTTTAAGTTAAAATGTTTCAACATTCCTCAGAATGTAAAGACAAATAAGCGGTATGAAAACCTTCCAGCTGTGCTTGTTGCTGCGGCGGTCTGTGTGACGGCGGCCGGCCTCACACGCTCCTCCCACGGGTTGGCACAGGCACAGCCTGGCGCAGCCACTTGCGGAGCTCCTCAACTCCGAAAATATTCAAGCACATTTTTGTTCCGCCATCACTTCTCGTAAAACTGTCAATATTCGAAATCTACACCGTTGATTTCTCACCTCAAAACTTCTCAGAAGTGGATTTAGTGATGAAATTCCATATGAAAACTGTAAAATATAAAACTTTCTGTTGCTGGCCTCTGTCTGGTGCAGCAATGATGATGCAGTGAATAGTGACGATTCTGACCAATGAGTAGTCTGCCGTGTTTTCACGTTACATTTTAGTATCCCTCAGCTCGCTTGGAACCTCAACATAAAAAGTACCTGGAAGCAGGTACAGGTACAACATTTCTATAATGGAAAACCAAACAAAGGTGAGTCGAGCCAAAGGGCCTCCGCTCAGACTAGCTTGGTTTGAGGGCGTGCCTGGCCCCGCTAGCTGCTCGGCAAGCTTTATGGCGCATTTTCATTGTGACGTCACAAGTAAAGGAAGTGAAGGGCTGGACTACAAACGAGCTGTTTTCAAGTGGTTCAGAGCAGAGCTTTCTGTAGAAGATGGGAAATCCCTTTGGGCTGGACTTTGGGCTTTTTCACTTTGCAAACCTGTTGCACAAAAAAGAGATATAACTAAGGAGAGGGGAAAAGCCAAAAAGCATAATACCACCTCTTTCAGATATTTATTTTGTTGAGGAAAAAGGGACTGAAATTTAAAAACTTAATTTTACTCATGCATTTGTTGAAAAAACATTTTATAATAATTGTTTTGAATGTTCTACCTAAGATTTTTGAAGTGATCCAGTGTTTGGCATCAAATGTGAGCAAAAATCAGCCTTTAAACTTAAAAGAAATAATTATCAATATCGAATGGTATGAGATTTTCTTTTATCATGATAATATTTTTGGCCATATGGCCCAGCCCTAGTTTGCAGCTAATCAGAAGAAGGATAGTCGAAAGCAAATTTAGATTGCTTGGGTTTGAAGACTGGTATAAATGTGCACTGCTAGCAAAAAAGCATAATGAGCCTTCCTCTTGTGTCGTGTGGCAGCAGCATCATGTCGGTGAATCCTCCGAGCAGCAATGATGCCTGCCTCAGTATCGTCCACAGCCTGATGTGCCACCGGCAGGGCGGAGAGAACGAGGGCTTCGCCAAACGGGCCATCGAGAGTCTGGTGAAGAAGCTGAAGGAGAAGAAGGATGAGCTGGACTCACTCATCACTGCCATCACCACTAATGGTGTCCACCCCAGCAAGTGTGTCACCATCCAGAGGACGCTGGATGGACGGCTGCAGGTCAGTCCGTCTTTGACATGCAGGGTTACCTTCAACATTAAAACAGGAACAGTGACTTTGTCAGCTCAGCTTTTACTGCATGTTACAGTACATATGCTTCAAGATTACCCTTGAATATTTTATGATGTTACTTTCACCTTCATATTTTATAGTTAGGAATTAGGAATTTTATGGTTTGATTTGGATTGCTGTCAAATTTAATTTAGTATTTACAGTATTGTCAGTTCACAATTAATTGAACAAGCTGTCAGTTTTGTCTTTTGTGCAAAAATTTGGACTGACCATTTTACAGGGTTCATATATTCAGAATATTATTTTGTTATATATTCAGCAGGTGGCAACATTCAATCACATACAGTATGCAGGCATACAAGGTGATGGCACAAATCAACAATAACATGTTGAGATACAGCTAACGTAAGACATTCAGCCAGAACTCAAACCAAAGTCTGAAGCCACTGTGATGGCCACTGATGTTTCAGGCTGATTTTACATCTGTAGTTTGCTTTATCTGGTCCAGGGGAAAAAAAGGTCCATTGTTGCATTAAGTTCTGGTCCATTTCCTGTTTACACATACTTTTTTCAAACGGACCAAGAGGAGTAAACATGAAGTTATACAGACTGACAAGTACTTTTTGTTGGACAGTTTTGGTGATTGTCGCACCATTGCTGCGTCATTAGCACATCATCAGGACCCACATGAGGAAATCAAATTCTGGTGACTGACAAGGACACTGGAAGTCAGTCAGGTTAGAGGGGCTGAGAGAAACTTGGAAATTTGGACATTTTCACTTAGGGGTGTTCTAACTTTTGTTGCCAGTGGGTTAGACATTAATGGCTGTGTGATGTGTTGTTTTGAGGGGGCAGCAAATGACTACTATATTATAAAAGCTGTACACTCACTACTTTACATAGTAGAAAAGTGTAATTTCTTCAGTGTCACATGAAAAGATATAATCAAATATTTACAAAAATGTACAGACTGACATATTTCAAATGTTTATTTAATTTAATTGTGATGATTAAAACTGAGAACTAATGAAAATCCCAAATTCAGTATCTCCAAAAATTAGAATATTACTTAAGACCAATACAAAAAAAGGATTTTTAGAAATGTTGGCCAACTGAAAGTATGAACATGAAAAGCATGAGCATGTACAGCACTCAATATATTTTTGCCTGAATTACTGCAGCAATGCTGCGTGGCATGGAGTCGAGCAGTCTGTGGCACTGCTCAGGTGTTATGAGAGCCCAGGATGCTCTTCTTAGTGGCCTTCAGCTCTTCTGCATTGTTGGGTCTGGCGTATCGCATCTTCCACTTCACAATAGATTTCCTATAGGGTTAAGGTCAGGCGAGTTTGCTGGCCAATTAAGGACATGGTCCTTAAACCAGGTACTGGTAGCTTTGGCACTGTGTGCAGGTGCCAAGTCCTGTTGGAAAATGAAATCTGCATCGCCATAAAGTTGGTCAGCAGCAGGAAGCATGAAGTGCTCTAAAAACTTCCTGGTAGACGGCCGCGTTGACCTTGGACCTCAGAAAACACAGTGGACCAACACCAGCAGATGACATGGCACCCCAAACCATCACTGACTGTGGAAACTTTACACTGGACTTCAAGCAACGTGGATTCTGTGCCTCTCCTCTCTTCCTCCAGACTCTGGGACCTTGATTTCCAAAGGAAATGCAAAAGTTACTTTCAGCAGAGAACATAACTGTGGACCACTCAGCAGCCGTCCAGTCCTTTTTGTCTTTAGCCCAGGCGAGACGCTTCTGACGCTGTGTCTTGTTCAAGAGTGGCTTGACACAAGGAATGCGACGACAGCTGAAAGCCATGTCTTGCATACGTCTGTGCGTGGTGGTTCTTGAAGCACTGACTCCAGCTGCAGTCCACTCTTTGTGAATCTCCCCCACATTTTTGAATGGGATTTGTTTCACAATCCTCTCCAGGGTGCGGTTATCCCTATTGCTTGTACACTCTGTGAACAGCAAGCCTCTTTAGCAATGACCTTTTGTGTCTTGCCCTCCTTGTGCAAGGTGTCAATGGTCGTCTTTTGGACAGCTGTCAAGTCAGCAGTCTTCCCCATGATTGTGTAGCCTACAGAACTAGACTGAGAGACCATTTAAAGGCCTTTGCAGGTGAGTTAATTAGCTGATTAGAGTGTGGCACCAGGTGTCTTCAATATTGAACCTTTTCACAATATCCTAATTTTCTGAGATACTGATTTTGGGGTTTTCATTAGTTGTCAGTTATAATCATCACAATTAAAAGGAATGAACACTTGAAATATATCAGTCTGTGTGGAATAAATGTATACATTATACAAGTTTCACTTTTTGAATGGAATTACTGAAATAAATCAACTTTTTGATGATATTCTAATTACAGTGGGTACGGAAAGTATTCAGACCCCTTTAAATTTTTCACTCTTTGTTTCATTGCAGCCATTTTCCAAAAATCAGCACCCCATCTTGACAGAAAAAAACAGAAATGTAGAAATTTTTGCAAATTTATTAAAAAAGAAAAACTGAAATATCACATGGTCATAAGTATTCAGACCCTTTGCTCAGTATTTAGTAGAAGCACCCTTTTGATCTAATACAGCCATGAGTCGTTTTGGGAAAGATGCAACAAGTTTTTCACATCTGGATTTGGGTATCCTCTGCCATTCCTCCTTACAGATCCTCTCCAGTTCTGTCAGGTTGGATGGTAAACGTTGGTGGACAGCCATTTTCAGGTCTCTCCAGAGATGCTCAATTGGGTTTAAGTCAGGGCTCTGGCTGGGCCATTCAAGAACAGCCACGGAGTTGTTGTGAAGCCACTCCTTCGTTATTTTAGCGGTGTGCTTAGGGTCATTGTCTTGTTGGAAGGTAAACCTTCGGCCCAGTCTGAGGTCCAGAGCACTCTGGAAAAGGTTTTCGTCCAGGATATCCCTGTACTTGGCCGCATTCATCTTTCCCTCGATTGCAACCAGTCGTCCTGTCCCTGCAGCTGAAAAACACCCCCACAGCATGATGCTGCCACCACCATGCTTCACTGTTGAGACTGTATTGGACAGGTGATGAGCAGTGCCTGGTTTTCTCCACACATACCGCTTAGAATTAAGGCCAAAAAGTTCTATCTTGGTCTCATCAGACCAGAGGATCTTATTTATCACCATCTTGGAGTCCTTCAGGTGTTTTTTTTAGCAAACTCCATGCGGGCTTTCATGTGTCTTGCACTGAGGAGAGGCTTCCGTCGGGCCACTCTGCCATAAAGCCCCGACTGGTGGATTGCTGCAGTGATGGTTGACTTACTACAACTTTCTCCCATCTCCCGACTGCATCTCTGGAGCTCAGCCACAGTGACCTTTGGGTTCTTCTTTACCTCTCTCACCAAGGCTCTTCTCCCCCGATAGCTCAGTTTGGCCGGACGGCCAGCTCTAGGAAGGGTTCTGGTCGTCCCAAACGTCTTCCATTTGAGGATTATGGAGGCCACTGTGCGCTTAGGAACCTTAAGTGCAGCAGAAATTTTTTTGTAACCTTGGCCAGATCTGTGCCTTGCCACAATTCTGTCTCTGAGCTCTTCAGGCAGTTCCTTTGACCTCATGATTCTCATTTGCTCTGACATGCACTGTGAGCTGTAAGGTCTTATATAGACAGGTGTGTGGCTTTCCTAATCAAGTCCAATCAGTATAATCAAACACAGCTGGACTCAAGTGAAGGTGTAGAACCATCTCAAGGATGATCAGAAGAAATAGACAGCACCTGAGTTAAATATGAGTGTCACGGCAAAGGGTCTGAATACTTATGACCATGTGATATTTCAGTTTTTCTTTTTTAATAAATTTGCAAAAATTTCTCCATTTCTGTTTTTTTCTGTCAAGATGGGGTGCTGAGTGTACATTACTGAGAAATAAAATGAACCTTTTTGATTTTTGGAAAATGGCTGCAATGAAACAAAGAGTGAAAAATTTAAAGGGGTCTGAATACTTTCCGTACCCACTGTATATGACCAGCACCATCTTTACATGTATATACACACCCACACACACGCAGAAACGCTGTGATTTTTCAGTTCAAACTGAGGTGTGCATCAAACAGTTACTCATTGAAAAGTCTGTGAAACTTAATGACTACACAATAACTATCCACCTGGAATATTTTATGTGGAAATGAAACAGACCAGAACGTTCCACCAGCACACAGTCATCCTCAACTAATAATTTTAGAATTACCATTGAAACCTTCACACATGCATTTAGCATCTTTTAAACAACAGTAAACATACACTGTAAAAATATGCCTTGTATCTGACTGCTCACATCTGACACTGGCCCAGTGCTTCAGTCAAGGGCAGTTGATTTTTTATTATGCTAACACATGATGATGGAACACATCCTTCACAGCTGACAGGATTTGCTGTTCCAAACAAAGTGTCATGGAGGTCAAAGATGTTTCTGTATTATTGACTTCTTGCAGGGCAGGAATGAATACCACTCTTACTAAGCCAGTTAGTTAACTACAATTGACCCGACTGCTGTATTGCTTTTATATAATTAATTGTACTGCTTATGATGACTGACTTAGAATATGTGAATTTGCAGACTATACTACAGTGACTGGGTTAGTAACAAGATGATATGAATCAGCATATATATATATGGGAGGGAGGTGTCTAATCTTGTGAGTTGGTGATTGAAAACCTAAAGAGATGATCAGAGTCTTCAGGAGAGGGGCAGGTGAGAAACAGCCTCCAGAAGTAGCCATGAAATTGAAATGTGAAGGAGTTTTTGGCAAACCTAAAACGGGGCACAAAATCTTAAAGTTGGCTCATCAGAGACTGTGTTTTTTTTTTGAGGAAGCTCAAAAATTTTGGTGTTTAAAAAAACCTTTTGTCCAATTCTACGTTTTAAAAGTGTGCTAACTTTCTCTTTCACAGTTTGGTTCAGTAGCCTGATTACTGCTGAAACAAATTCACTAGAGAAAATTGCATCTCAATTGACTTGCTACTCCCTCTGACTTCATCAAAAGCCTGTGATCATTGCTACAGATAACTCTCACGCAGCAGCTCCCTCTCTGATATTTTTAAAAGACTCTTTTTGTTTTTCTCTGTAGTTTTAGCAAATTTTCCACGCAGAGCTTATTTTAATAGCTATGTTATTAGAGTTGTGTTGCTGTGTTAAATGTTGTCTTGTCCTTGTTGGTTTATAGGGGGAACCGTATTTATCGTAAAATTAAGATAATCACCAAAGATGTTTTTTCATTCATAGATTAAAGAACAAATTTTTATACACTTTAGAGTGTTAAACAGTTATAAGCCATTTCCCCCTGTAAAGAACATTGAAAAGATTCCAGATCTAAGCAGGAACACTGTTCCCTCCCAATAGCGATCCCATGCGCCCCCCACCCCCATTTCCACCATTGCTTGGTGGCACTATAATAACATCAAGGCAAGTTTATTGTGCAGTTTTTGGGACCACTCTGGTGGTGTTTTAGTTTCATCTGGGTCATCTCTGTGCTGTTATGACACTGAGTTGTACTAATTCAAATTTGCCACCTGATGAACATTGACAAAGCATATGAATCATCAAAGATTTTGAATAGTACGTATTTTCTTTTAGCATTAATATTGCCTTTGACATTGCAGTCAGTATCATAATGTTTAACTATTCATTTAAAACAGGGTTATTTGTTTTGTCATGCATTGTTCAAAGGTGGGGCTCTGATGTTGTATGTACAGAATAGAGCAACAAAGTAAAATGACAGTATGGTAATCAGGATGATAAAGTTACTGTATATGGATTGTAACAAATGAGAGTGGGACGAGAGAAGAGGCTGAATCTTGTGGAGGACAAAGATCCAGATCCAAACATCTGGAGAGAAGCATCCACAGCTGTGCTTAAAAAGGTGTGCCTGTCTTTGGAGTAGATTCAGTGAGCGTGACAGAGGGTGTAGGAACTGTAATGACGCTGCGCTCTCTCCTCAGGTGGCAGGGAGGAAAGGGTTTCCTCATGTGATTTATGCACGGCTGTGGCGCTGGCCTGACCTCCACAAAAATGAACTTAAGCATGTCAAGTTCTGCCAATACGCCTTTGACCTGAAGTATGATAATGTGTGTGTCAACCCCTACCATTATGAGAGGGTGGTGTCGCCAGGCATTGGTAAGTCAGCTTCATATTTCAACAACTTGGATTTGGACTTTCACAGGTTTCACAATTTCTGTGCTAAGTTAGTTTAATTTCATTTCTATAAGCAGTCCTTCCAGGTTTTCATGGACCTCTTTATTGATTGTTGTGGTCTAAAATGCATTATTTTGCTGCAGCTTTTCTAAAAAAGGTGCGATGAAAGTTGCGATGCCATCGTCTATCGAAAAAAAATCTAAATCTAAAAAATCTAAATTTTTCACATAATACTGCCTTGTAAAAGCAGGTTTTAATAACCACAAACATTATTATGATACATTTTAAATATGCTTTGCACCTTGCTCGGAATTCTCTTTTACCCACACTCAGACACACTGACACACAGGAGGCGTACACCTCAGGTATAATTTCCACTGCGACTTGTAACGTCATAGGCGACCAAGAGTGAAGTCTGTGCGAGTGAACACATGCACATAAGATGACCGCTATCCACCCCCGCGCGCGTGCGCACATGCCCCTGTGCCCCCGATGTCAGCGTCCATCCCAGTGTTTCAATGTAGACATGTTCCGATGGAAATTTTGTAGACATCGCCCAACCCTATTCTTAGGTGTTTTTTGTGATGAAATTGTAGAAACAAGTGAAAACTGCAACAGTAGATGTGATATTATTAACTTTAGAATTACAGTTGAATCATATAACAGTCCTTCCAGGATTTTGCAAATTAAACTCTACCCCTAACCCTGCATATTCAAGCCAGACCGGGATGCAACAGCCTGTGTCACAGTGATGTGCCTTGTCTGACGTCCTCCATGTGTTTCTACCACAAAACCATGTTTTGCGGTGGTAAAGTGTTTGTCAGTAGACAATTTTCTTTTATGTTCGACCACAGTGCTTGTTAACAAGGTGACATATGACGTTTTGCGGAAACTGCCATGACAGGTTGCGGTGATTGGTCAAAATTGCAAGTTGTGCTGAATTCACGAGGATTTGTTGACTTTGTGTAAATAGTTGAATCTTGAAATACTGGAGGGACTGATTTATATTGTGCTAAATCATAACAGAAGTTATCTAGGGGCACTTTATACATAGAGCAGGTCTAGACCGTACTTTTAATATGCTTAAAGTGTTTAATTTTATCAGAAATATTTGTTAGCATAGCTCAACAAACCTGATACATCTCATCCTGTTGGAGTGAGCATATTACTTCTGTATAATGTCTTGATTTCATGTTCTTTGTGTTTTCTCTGGCAGTTGGTCTCAGCCTTCAAAATACAGGTGAGTTCTCAGCTGCAGTCTGAAAGGAAGAGGTGTGATGCAAATTTGCGACAATCGGCGTTAAGGGGTTAATATCCAGGAATTCACATTATAGACACAGCTACTGACGATCTGTATAAGAATATGGCCACAATATGGTACATTGACCACACATGGTCCAGCCAAGTACTAGGCTTCCACCTAGTCCTGTTTTCTGCTCAGATGTCAGATGCTGTCATTGCTATATAGAGAACTTGTATGAGGTTAAGGGAGCAAGTAGTGGGCATGTGGGCTGTACAACATAAAACACCAAGTTTGACAGTGTCTTCTAGGGCTGAACTATTAATCGTTTTCAAATTGAAATTTCGATTAAAAGAATGCAATTAGCAATCTTGAACACTGCCATTAAAAATGTAGGTTAATTATACAGAGCATCTGACCTGTTTTAAACAGTCATGCTGTTACAAATTAATTTTGTTGTCATCCTTGTGTGACAGACTTGCTCACTAATCACAAGTGCCATGTGCCTCCTGTTATGTTCCTACTCACCAGTCAGAGGGTATGTACATTTTACAACAACAAATGAAACTAGAGGAAAACGTGGGATAATGGCGTCAGCCAAACCAACACAAGCGCTGTGCCACGGTTTTGTCCGTCTTCTGCCTGGCGTCAACTCACACTGAAGTGTTGTCAGTAGCGGAGCGTTTAGCCTGCCCTATGTAGCAGACATATTGTTAATTTATCCTTTCTTGAGCCGGTGTTGTTCAGCTCTCTGTATGGTTACATATAGCCCACATGGAGCACTTAGAATAAGAGTGTTTTGCATGCCTGATTTTACTGACTTGTTCAGATTTGGTTGATTTATTTAGTTGTCCTTGATTTTTGTGCTTCTACCATACATTTTTTGTCTGTTTTAACGGCAAGTTTGCATGTTGCTCTTGTGTAAATAAGCACTCGAGTCTTTCATATAAGTCATGACTGCAGTCTTACTCGGTCGGACCTACTAAGGTCAAGTCTGAACTGAATGCTGTCAGAACATCAAGACTAAGGTTAAATACTATCAAACTTTATGCACAAAGAAAATAACAAACTGTGGTGCAGGAAAAAGGAGATACATAAAATTAAAATCATAGCATGTAGGGAAATGAGAAGTCAACGTTGTTCTATGCTTGTGTCGGATATTATACAATAGGCAGCAGAAAAGAAGGAGGAAGATTTCTTTACTTTCCCCATGGTCATTAATTAAGACTTCAATGGCAAAATATGTTTAATTTAATTTAATATGTAAAATCCATCAGCGATGCATCTTGTGAGAACAGAACACATTATTTTCCATCTCAGTGCTGTTCTGCAGCAGGGACAGTTCCCCCCTGTGGGTCAGGCCACAAATAGCCCCAAACATTGTGGCATTATTTAATGGTCCTGTCATGTCGAATAAAGTCATTAGAAATATTTATGTAACGGACCCCTACTGCATGTTTTATTAATGACAATACGCCATCACTGTGAGTGACAGTTGAAGCCAGCAGTCATACATATAACATGTTTGGAAACGGCTAAGCTCAGCAGGGAACTGAATTGCCATTCTAAGCATGTCACCATTTGAATCCAAACAGTTAGGACATTTATTGTGTAGTTGATGAAAATGTTTTTCAAAGTAGGATATGTTCCACCTACTTCCCTATATATCAAAATGTTTGTAATAATAAAGGCTAATCATCAGAAATACATACATGTACCATGATGTCTCTCTCATGATGTTTCACAGTGGCCAACTGGCAGAAGCAACTGATAGCGCTGCATGGCTGTTTTCACTCCAGTCTTAATGGAATGTACAAGTCCTGCACACTAGACTATAAATAACCAACAATGGCCTTTTTTTATTTGACTGTTGGAATGGTAATTGCCTGAACACCAGTGCTATTCAAGGGCCTGCTGTTTGTATTCAAATGCTCTGATTACTTGATTTAGTAAGGATATGTCCCAAATAATATCACTGTCAAGAAGTCTTGCCTTCAGATGCAGTACGCTGTAGTGATTGTACAGTGTAGAACACTTAGCTGACCTCCTTCTGCCTTCTGTAGCAGCACCAGGTGGGCTGATCAAAGAGGAATACATCCATGACTGTATACAGATGGACCTCCCACCTGGCATGCCTCTGTCTGACCACCAAGTGGCCCTGAAGCTGCCTCCTCCAGATCACTATGGCCAGCCATTACCTCCCTCACAGCTGTCTTCTGAGCCCCATGGACCCCCACCCGTCACCAGATACACTAACTTGCCTGTCTCACCCAAAGGTCAGTTCATTATCTGATGTCTGTATTCATTATTGAGTGCCTAACTGACTCATTATCTGATGTGCTTATTATGTTTGACCAATGTACATTGTGTGTGCAGGGTCTTAAAAAGTATTAAAAGGTAAAAATTCTATTTTGCAGAAATTAAGGCCCTTAAAAACTTTTTAAAAAGTCATAATCTTCTTTGATAATTTTTTTACGAGGTACTAAATTTGAAAAAAAAAAAAAATTCAATGTTTGTTTTTCCAAAGAGTTTGAATGCTTAAATTGTGGGTTGACGTATTTATTAATATTGCATAGCCAAAGAAACTAGATAGGCAGAGTGTAGCGATTGTGGAATTTTTCTGTGTTGGCTCAGGGCTCCACTGTATTTAAAGTATATTTAAAAGTAAATAAAATTATTTACGAGCACAGTGTTTGAGTAAAGACATTATAACCTGCCATAATCTTCCACCACCCCGCACCCCCCACTGCTAATTGTTCAAAAGTTAGCACCAGGATTTTATTTTCATAAACAGACCAATCACAGCCTGGATGGGGTGGGACATCCAGTCCTACAGTTTGATGTCCTACAGCAAACTTTCCAAACTTTTGGAACCAGTCCTTCACTTAGAAAACAGTAGGCCTGTACAGGCTGTTATAGGCAACTGAGAAAGTTGGTGAATGCCTCAATTTTTAGGTGAGGTTACAACCCATTCACACATAAGATAAGATAAGATAAATCTTTATTATCCATTTCTGGAAACTTGTCTTTGGCTTCACCAGGTTCATTTGAAAAACATTAAAAACATCAAATACACATAACACAGGACACATACAACCTGTACATTTAAACACAAAAACCAATACTAATAGGAGCTTCCATTAGGCCGGTTATGTCTTGTGAATTTATCAAAACAATTGCGCGAGGGATAAAAGAGTTTTAAAAAAGGTTTTTTGTTGCCCTGGGTACCCTATAACGTCTTCCTGAGGGGAGCTTGTCAAATTCAGCAAAAAGGGGGGGTGTAGAATCACCCACAATTTGCTGTGCTTTCTGTCTGCAGTGGTATATGCAGCGTATATATCTCACTCTCCCAGCCATATTCACAATCTTAGTCAATTTGGACCTATTCTTAGCCCCAAGATTACCATAACATGTTAATATGTTGTACGTGAGAACACTCTCCACTAGACTTGCTGTTCAGCTTCCTTAACAAATACATACGTTGCATAGCCTTTTTATAGATATACTCAGAGTTTGCTGTAAAATTCAATCTACTATCAAGTAAAGTATTTAAAGTTCTCCACAATGTCAGGACGGTCATTGTGTTTAGGCAAAGTGGGATGTTATTCCTGGAGATTACCAACTCCTTAGTTTTACTGGTATATATGATTGGAGTTTACTGTTTGAATACTACATTGGCAATACAGATGTGATTTAATACATTTCATTTTCAATTTCTTTTTAAAAACTCCACAATGGCTGATTTAACCAGTTACAGCTCAAAATGGTGCAGTGGTCTGAAAATATATTGAACTAGTCTTGAAAAAGGTCTTAAAAGGTATTGAATTTTACTTCAGGATTCCTGTATATACCCTGATATTGGCGGGGGAGCAGGAGTTAGAGCGGGTCATCCACTAAACAGAAGGTCGCGGTACGATACCCGCCTCTCCGGTCTGCATGTTGAAGTGTCCTTGGGCGAGACACTGAACCCCACGTTGCTGTGTGGTAATGATTAGTTTCTTTCTGATGAGCAGTTGGCACTTTACATGCCATCAGTGTATGAATGTGTGTGAGAGGGGTGAATGTGACATGTAGTGGTCAAATTCTAGTCTTTTTACATTCTTTTGGGAACGTAGCAGATAAATAACTTGTGTGAGCTGGGAGAAATTGCTCACGCTTTTACATTGCAGGTTGTGTACTGAAAACAACATGAGCTGAAAACTTGTGACAGCTGTAGCTACTTTATTTGAATGTAGTCAGAGAGTTGAAGTCGGGCCTGATGTGTTGCTCTGCTCTCCTTCCAGTGGCCGGTTCTGGCTCCATGCTACCACTGCAGGGTGGTCACGGCGACACCCGTCTCCAAACTGCATCTCCACACGCGCAAGTCATGACTCCTGCACCACGACCTCCGACCCCAACCCAACCCTCTCCTCAGCAACAGGCTGCCCAGCAACCCTCGCAGACTCCCCACCCACAGCAAACCTCCCTACCTCCTTCTCACTCGCATGGACAGAACGGATACAGCAGCAATAAACTCTCTCAGAGCCCGGCTGCCTTCCACAGTAAATTCACACATACAGAACATGCATGCATGTGCACTCAGACATACGTGGATATTGTTTAAAATCAATACTTTGTTTTGCTTACCAGAGAATGGGAAGCTTAAACAATTGCCTTTTGAACTAAAAGCATGTATAGGAACACAAATAATGGGATAATAATCACACAGGCAGCATTTATTGCAGAGCTGCAGGGCTGGACTACATTGCATAGTCTAGATTATTTGTTTTTATGAACAGGGAAAATGAATTAGTGACATAAACATTTTTTACTAGTGTAAATGTGTTGAGTTATGGGAGAGACATAAACATATTTAAAGATGACAGAGGACATTTCTTTTCTTCCAGCAGTAAGAGCTCATAGGTTAACTGGATTACTCTGGAGGTATCTGCATCTTATAGGCAGTGTTGAGGTGTGATGAAGGATGAGCACCTAAAATTCAATCACCCAATATTCAGTGCCATGTAAAATTGAATCTTGACTTTGTTTCTTTTTTATTAAGTCATCACCATTAGTAGTACCAGTACATCAGTAAATCAGGGTTGGTTTTGTCAAGCGTTATTTAGGCCAGGTGGGTGGTGTGCTTTCTTGTGGTCAGAGAATGATAATCATATATTGAGAGATTAGTAGTTATAGAGACGTAGTCACACTGATCATTCTGTACTTTCCTGTAATTCAGCAGTTTGGACAGGCAGCAGCACAGCCTCCTACACTCCTGTAGGACCCCAACAGAACGGGCGTATTCACCAACAACCTCCCCTGCATCATTCAAACCACCACTGTAAGATATGCTTCAAACGCTGTGTCTCTTCCAAAAAAGAGATTTCACATGTGATTCCTACACAGCTCCTTCTGAAGGGTTCTTTTTGGTATTTGACATCATGCCTTTCATTTTTAGAGGATAGACTTTGATTGTGTACACAGTATAATGTTCTATAATATTAATTTCTAGGCTGTAAAAATGTGGGATTTCTGTGATTTAAATAGGTCCATTCAATTTAATTCCATTCAATTCAGCTTTATTGGCATGAATGTCAAACATCAATATTGCCAAAGGTTAAAATACATTCTATGAGTTGCTCTCTCCCAGGGAAATATGCATTTAAAAGCACAAAGGTCTAATCACGTGTTTGTGTGGGAACAAATGCTAGTACACAAAGTCTAACTATAGTTACATTGTGAAATAATCACACCATTCATCAGTGTACTGCATTGCTAAGAATTATTTCATTCTATTCTTAGTATCAGGAAGCTATCAGTCAGATGAGTGACACTGAGAGCGGCGGATGCTTTTGGTTTAAAGCCACAGACTGTTTAAAAGAGGTGGACGTAGTCACCCGATGGTTTGTGGACCGTTTTGAAGCCTTGAGTTTGAATGCCGCAGTTTGAATGCCGCCATCTAGGTTTTTTGGAACCAGGCATCGGACGTGACTATATTTGGATGACATGGTGGCGCTAGCAAGCTTGGTTAACAAGGTGCATCCATAATTCACGTTAGATCTTTTGTAATTGGGATGCTAATTTTGGCTAACAAAAGTTTAAAACTAAGCCTGTAATTACTGAAAAATTACATGCCTGATTCTACATTAACAGCACTGGTTAAATGTATATAGTGCAGTTAATTCCAGTTGCCTCTATCCTGATTGATAGCTTTCCATGGTAGCGACTTGTCAATCACAAGGTAGCCCCACCCTAAAGCACTCTCTGCTTTTTGGTCTATGTTCCTCTAAATGGGACCATAATGTACTAAATTAGCGACCGAGACCATAAACGCATTAGGAAAGTGTTTACTGTAATAAATCAGCTGAGCAGTAGCCCATTTTCTCATAGATATCTATACAATCGCACTTCTTCTCGCCCCCTGCTTGCAAAGAGAGAGAATGCAGGTTTAAGTTACTTCCGCATTGGCTTCAGTTGTGAAAGCTGGAGGTTGCTGCTTGTTTAAGGCACAATGTGAAGGATTTTAAACATTTCCACAGTTGGTGCCCCCTACTGGTAGTATCACAATCTAATCATCAGCAGTGTTTTCAGAAGAGTCTGAACTGGAATTATCTGGGGATTGTTTTCTTATCATTTCTTGTGCTGTGCTGTCTGCTACCATGTCTTTTTGATTCTACCATGAGGAGTAATCAAAGTCGGAACTTTTCAATGGCATGTGTCGCACCAAAGTGCTAATGCAAAGATAAGAAAATGCTTTTATAATTCCTAAAGCCTGTGTTTTGTAAACATGCATGCTTCCTCCCACACCACGACCACATTTCCACATCAGGTCCAGCTTTGGTACAGCCCTTATTTGGACTATTAGTGCTTCACACTAATCTTCTCATACCTCTGCTTTTCAGGGTCTCAGCATCATGGCTCAACCTCTTTCCCGCCTTCTGTGTCCAATCATCCAGGTTAGAGATGATTACACTGTCACAATTGATCTTAACCGTGTTGTGCATATCAAGACCTTTAACTGTTCCTGCAGTATGGCTTGCTATACAGTTGCTGAATATTGTTGTAAGAAAGAGTAATCAGAGAATGATCCTCTGGGCTTGGTGAGTATGAGGTCTTGTGTTAAGTGTCATAGTGTCATCAGTATTTCCATCCTGCTTGTCTGTGCAGACAGTGAACAGGTGGATGCCAGCAGGTGTAGACAGAATATTTCATTTCTGTAAACATTGGCATGTTAGAACTTATCCACTGTAGGATGTAAGGTTCATGATTAATGCTGCATCAGACCTTTAACCTTTCTGGTATTTTGTTGCAATCAGCCCGAGATCTTACAAACGCACAGTTGTCTTTCCTGAAACAATGTGACTGTAGAGCTCAGAGACACACACGAGTTGATCCTCTGTCAGCATTATCAGGTCAATGTTGCCTACTCCTACAGTAGAGTGTGTATCAGTTATATATTATGGCAAGCCAATTTAACATTTATTCTTTAAAACTTATTGTTGCTACTTAAAAGCTTCTAGTACTTATTTGTTAGTTACTGGTAACTATTCCATTAGATACAGGTAACTATTGCTGTTTTACTAGTAACAATTTATTAGATATTAGTACTTGAATTTTAGTTACTAGTATAGCCAACAGCAGAAAGCTAAATTAGGAAGTGTCAAAGTAAGCCATGTCGCATCCAAACTAATCACGTTGTCAAAGAGACAGCTTTACATGGCTTTGGCTGTAGCTCAGGAGGTAGAGCAGGTTGCCTGTTAATTGGAAGGTCGGTGGTTCAATCCCTGGTGGTTCAATCCCTTCCTGCATGTTGAAGTGTCCTTGGGCAAGATACCGAATTGCCCCTGGTGGCTGTTCCAGTGTGTGAATGTTAGCTTCTGTTTGAGAAACTTAGGCTCAGTGTGTGAATGGTGAATGCAGATGTAGTGTAAAGGCGCTATACAAATACAGAGCATTTACAATGATACCAGTCATGGCGTTAGAATACTAACTTTTAGTAAATTTAGGAGAAATCTACAAATGCAAATAGACAAAACTGGTAAAATAAACAACTAAATGTGAATGTATGTTTTCTTTCCACTAGTGTGAAAGAAGATGTTATGGAAGCAAAATAGCCCAAAATCTCAATCTTGACCAGTGCATGATAAAACAATGGTGCCTGCCGTGTCTTGCCTTAAATGCATATTTAATAGGGAGAGATTCACCCTGCAAACATCTATTTGTTGAATATACTGCATTTGTTTGGGGCATAATGCTGAAAAACAGGCCAGAGTGGTGTCAACTGCCAGTCCATCACACAGTGTGCTCTGTTTTCATTGCAGGACCAGAATTTTGGTGCTCTATCTCCTACTTTGAAATGGACGTTCAGGTGGGTGAGATGTTCAAGGTGCCCTCCAGCTGCCCTGTAGTGACCGTGGATGGTTATGTTGACCCTTCGGGAGGCGACCGCTTCTGCCTTGGCCAGCTGAGTAATGTCCACCGCACAGATGCCAGTGAGAGAGCCAGGTGTGTGAATAAAGACAAACATATGAGATGGCATGATAATGACTACAGACAACACATCCTTTTACTGCAATACTGCATAACTGTTAGGATGTGGTGGGTCTATGGCCTTTTGTCCTGCCTGTAAATACAGGGGAAAATAACAGAACACTCCAATGTATTTCAATAGAGTAACACTGCAAAAGCTGAGACAGAGTGCATTGTGTCTATTTTCCCCATAAAAGTGTTATTTATTATTTTGTTCTCATAACATTCAGCCTTTTTTCAAATTCTACAACTATATTCTCAACAGGTCTCATTTCTTTTGTCCTGACTGTGGCCTAAATATGGCACATAGATAGGTCACAGTGTCAGAGATAGGTATTTATTCAGCTCACAGTATGTTTTCAGGTTTTATCCTGTAATGTTGTTGAACTGCATTGCAGTGTCTTTCGGATTTTGGATGGTCCAACCAAACCATCCAACAATATACAGGGTTCCCACTCCCACCTGGAAAACCTGGAAAACAATTGACCAATTTTCTAGTCATGGAAAACACATGGAAAATGAGAGAAAAGTCAAATGTCTTGGCAAATCTTGTGTAATTATTTTAACATTATATTGCGAATGTCGTGAACACACCCCTGAGTTACATCACATGTTGCATAGGTTGGATGACATTAATTCAAGTGACCGAAACTCTAAATAATGTAAGTTGCATTATCCTCCAAAGGTAAATATTAGTCACTGCTGGCTGCTAACTGTGGTAGTTTTGATTAGGTTTATAGAGTAATAGATTAACATGTTTTAAATGTTAACGGTTTAAGGTTTGTGTTTCAACTCTGGCTAGAAGCATTGGTTTCAAATGTGTTGGATATTGTTGAGAAAGTTGGATAAGAATGAACAGCATTGTCAAAACAATGAATGGGAGCCCAGTAGGGTTGGGCCGATAGATGATCAGCGATGGCTGACAGACATCACGACATTAAGCAGGCATCGTGATTGTCAGTAGGTTAAATTATTTTTGTTGAGGCTGTTCAGTAATTGGTGTTCAGGCAGCAGTGGCTAAAACATAATTCATAAGAAAAAAGCCAAGCATAGAACACAAAACGCTTTCCCAAAGAAACAAAAAAAAATACAAGGGCATTACTTTAAAAAATAATAATATTCAAATATTGTCTGTCATACATATAAAGACTGATCTGTGCCTCACTTTTGAATTCTGAAAATTCGGTTGGACTGGAATGTGACATGTAGTGTAAAGTTCTTCGAGTGGTCAGAAGAATAGAAAGGCGATAGTCCATTTACATTTACCATCTAGACCTGCTCTATATGAAAAGTGCAATGAGATCACTTCTGTATAAAGTGATATAAAATTGATTTGAATTGAGTAAAACCGAAAGCCATTATGTAAAAGTACATTACATTAATTTGACCAGTAAGGGACTACAGGCTACACTGGGTAAAAGTGTCCTTCTCTTCCGCACCCACCTGATCAGCACATCTCTATCATCCCTGTCTGAAATCCCCTGGGCTTTTCTTTGTTGTTGTCGCTCCACAGTGGTGAATAGATTGCCCGCTGAAGTCAGGACAGCAGAGTCACTGCACATGGTCCACCGCAAGCTAAAAAACCACCTCCACCTCCAATGCTAGCACTTACTAACATCTCATCTCTTTTCAAAAGATAATAGTAATAGTCATGTTTTACAAAGAAGGAGTAGAAGCACAACTGATTGTTTCCCATCTGATTGTCATGGAGTTCCACAAGGATCTGTGCTGGGACCAATCCTGTTCACTTTATATTTGCTTCCTTTAGGCAATATTATCAGGAAACACTCCATAAACCTTCATTGTTATGCAGATGATACTCAATTATATCTATCGATCAAGCTACATGAAACTCATCAGTTAGATAAACTACAAATGTGCCTTCAGGATGTTAAAACCTGGATGACCTGTAATTTTCTAATGTTAAACTCAGATAAAACTGAAATCATTGTACTGGGGCCCAAGCACCTCCGTGACGCATTATCTGAAGATATAGTTACTCTGGATGGCATCGCCCTGCCCTTCAGCACCACTGTGAGGAATCTTGGAGTTATCTTTGATCAGGACATGTCGTTTAACTCTCACATTAAGCAAATTTCAAGGAAAGCAAAAATCAGGAACATCCTGTCTAAAAATGATGCAGAAAAACTAGTCCATGCATTTGTTACTTCTAGGCTGGATTACTGCAATTCCCTATTATCAGGCTGAAAAAGTCCATTAAAGCTGTGTTTCGACCAAAGGAACTATACCCCGAACCTTTGGAGGAACTCGCTGCGTTTCCACCGGAGGGACCAGGGTCTAAATGTAGTTCTGGGGTCTTCATTTTACCCCCAAAAAAGTCCCTGATCGGGGGGATTTCATCAGTCAGAAAGTTTTTACACAGAGCTGAAGTCGGTCTCCTTCTGTCCAAAACAAGCGTAACAGCTGATTACAGCAGGTAATTAAAGCTTGTTAAGCTTGTTAAACATGGTTCACACAATGTTCCTCTGACGTGACCACAGACGAGTGCTACAGCTGGTCTGCAGCTCTTGTCAGCTGGAAATGTTGTAACAATCTTCCAAACGGTCGCAATTTCATTTTTGTGTTGCATTCTCTGTGCTGAAGTTATTTTAAGAACTTTATGGCTTTATCCAATTTAATTAAATTTGTAACAAACTTTATCGCATGTCTCTTAATTATACGTCCACACTAAAAAGCTGTTTTTAATGGTCACGCAAAGCCTATAGTTTGTCATTATATTCCAATCAAATCTGATGTTCATTTATAAATTTTGCTCATGGATAGTGGTTACAAAAAATTATGCCTGTGCACCACTTTGTACGGCGTACAGGCCTACAGCCGGTTACTTTGCCTAACCTTCGCAGGTCTTTAGACCACAGTGGAAACGCACACAACAGTGGACTGAAGGAACCTTTTAGTTCCTTGAAAAGAGATCTAGGGACTTAGATCCCTGGTACTTCTGGTTGAAATGCGGCTTATGACTCTTCAGCTGATCCAGAATGCTGCAGCACGTGTTCTGACAGGAACAAGGAAAAGAGATCATATTTCTCCTGTCTTAGCTTCTCTGCATTTGCTTCCTTCTTCTCACCTACAAAGCTCTTAATGGTCAGGCACCATCTTATCTTAAAGAGCTCAGAGTACCTTACTACCCCACCAGAGCACTGCGCTCCCAGAATGCAGGGTTACTTGTGGTTCCTAGAGTCTCCAAAAGTATCAAGCTCCTCTCCTGTGGAACCAGGTTCCAGTTTGGGTTCAGGAGGCAGACACCATCTCCACATTTAAAAGTAGGCTGAAGACTTTCCTCTTTGATAAAGCTTATAGTTAGGACTCGCTCAGGTGAGTTAAACTGCTATAGGCCTAGACTGCCGGGGGATTTCCCATGACGCACTGAGCTCCTCTCTCCTCCTCTTTCTCTCCCTCTGTATGCAACCTCATCCCATTAATGCATGTTACTAACTTGACTTCTTCCCTTTCCCGTAGTCTTGTGCTTTCTCATCCCTCTCCTCTCTCCTCTTATGACTTCCTGCAGGTGTTTCTGGTTCTGGAGCTGTGGTGTCTGGATCTGTGGTTGCGAGTCAGCTGCTGCTACAATTATTGTTACTAGTCCTATTGTTATTATCATCATTAACATTACTATAAATATCTGTACCATTATTCATTCAGTCTACCAGCATTACCTTTACTGTCTATACCTCTGTGTGTACATTGTGTAGGCTGCTAACCCCCATCCCTCTCTCCCTCGTTATGACTATCTCTCTCTCGCCCTTTCTCTATCTCCCTCTCTCTCTCTTCCTCACCACCAACCGGTCGAGGCAGATGGCCGCCCACCCTGAGCCATGGTTCTGCTCGAGGGTTCTGCCTCTTAAAAGGAAGTTTTTCCTTGCCTCTGTCTCCTAGTGCTGCTCTTGGTGGGAACTGTTGGGTTTCTGTAAATACCATCATAGAGTACGGTCTAGACCTGCTCTTTTATGAGAAGCACTGTGAGATAAATGTTGTTGGGATTTGGTGCTATATAAATAAAATTGAATTGAATTGAATTGTCCTAATGGTTGTTCCTGTGTATTCCAGGTTACACATTGGTAAAGGCGTGCAATTAGAGTGTCGTGGTGAGGGCGATGTGTGGATGCGCTGTATGAGCGACCATGCCGTGTTTGTACAGAGCTACTACCTCGACAGGGAGGCAGGCCGGGCACCAGGCGACGCTGTGCACAAGATCTACCCTGGAGCCTACATCAAGGTATGAATCCAGCTCATACACATGCATCGCATTTTCTTATACACACACACACACACACACATATATTTTCTCTTTTTAAAATCTATTTGAGAACACCAGTGAGCGGTACTCGGCTTATATTTTGCAGCTTAAACTTCCTGTCCAGCTGTGGCACGGTGCTGCTTTTTAATGTGCACTGCTTGTATCCTGGTCAGGTGTTCGACCTGCGGCAGTGCCACAGACAGATGCAGCAGCAGGCAGCGACGGCCCAGGCTGCAGCTGCTGCACAGGCAGCTGCTGTGGCAGGAAATATTCCCGGGCCAGGCAGCGTAGGAGGCATTGCACCTGCAGTTAGTAAGTATGGTTGAGTCTTTATTCATATTAACAATACACAGGGGAAGCCAGTTTAAAATGGGAAATGTACAGTCAAGTGCTGAAGGTTCAAGGTAGAATATATTGTCGTTCACTCCTCAGTATGTGTACCCATACCTGGCAATAAAGCTGATTCTGATTCTGAGTATACAGGGGAGCTACGTTGTGAAAAGATACATTTAAAAATGAACATTAAAGTGCAAGTGCTGCTGAAGCTTCCTGATCCATGAAGAGAAACTGGTTGCTAAAAGAAAAAAAATGTTTAACATAATCAATAGAAAATGACATAATCACTAAATCATCCCCACTCCCTGGAATGATTAAGAGTTGGTATGCAGCTTCTGCAGTAGTGTTTATCTGAAGTCTGTGTTATATGTTTAGGGATTGGAGCTTGTAAATTTTTTTTCTCTTCCCTCTGCTAATTTACAGTGGGGGTGGAGGGGAGTCCCCTCTTATTCACGAAAAGACCACAGTCCTCTTACTGTCCAACTAAAGCTCTGAGCTGATTTAAGTCTCCTTCAGTTGTCACCGTGCACACACAGCATTTAAGAATTACAAGCAGTAGCGAGTTTTCAGGGTTCCCACGTGACCTGGAAAACATGGAAAACCTTGAAAACAGTTGATCAATTTTCCTGTCAAGGCAAACACATGAAAAATAAGAGAAAAGGTAAATTTTTATGTTTACATTAAATTGCAGCTGCTTGGTTATGTTGCGGCAGTGTGACACCCGAGAGTCACATCACAAAGTAGCACAGGTTACACATCACAACACATCAAACACCAGCTAAATAATGGCTAACAGTACTTTTTTTAAACTTTGCTAGCATTGTCTCTTCAAACACAATGCTTCGTTATGATAAATGGACCGTAACATGACGTGAAACCTTTTAGCCGTAGCTCAGTGGGTTGTGATTAACTTCGTTAATAAAAGGGCTAACATATGGTGTGATAAACTGATTTATACCATGATTTGGGTTAATTTCCTGTCGCTTTCTTTAGATCGTTAGTTAATGTTTGATATTTGCACACCTATGAAGTAGTTAAAGTTTTGTGACCGTATTACACTTGCATATCAATACACCAAGTTCGTTGTAAACTAACTGAAATGTGGCGTTGTGACAGGGGTCTGACAGATGTGAAGAGAGCAACATGTCAACTTGCCAAGCATAGAACACAAAACGCTTTCCAAAAGAAACAAAAAAATACACTGGCAATACTATAAAAAAATAATATTAAAGATGTGGTATTATGCTCATTTTCAGGTTCAAAATCTTAATTAGGGGTTGTACCAGAACAGGTTTACATGGTTTAATTTTCAGAAAACACCATATTTTTCTCATACTGCACATTGCTGCAGCTCCTCTTTTCACCCTATGTGTTGTACGCTCTCTTGAGCTACAGATTGATGCATCTTACTTGTACAAAATCTTTGTTGGGAGTTCCCAGATAAGGACTACTAGCCAATCAGAAGCAGAGAAGGGCAGCTCGTAAGAAACAAGGTAGTGTGATCCAAATAAAAGCCGTGCGACCGTAACCTAGCAGATGGTATAAGTTACTCTCAAGTCCACAACATCATTGTTCCACATCTTACCATCAGGACTAAACGCTGAACTGTTGCCGGTGTTCTGACGATCTATGCTGCCTTGCCGAAAAATGCTACCATAGCGCAAATCGATAAACTCGTCTCTACTCGGCCCTGCTTCTTTTTCCATTGCAGATAGTACCCAGAGATAGTACGTAGCTTGTCGTCATAGCGACGCCACACACAACTGCCGTGAAGTAATGTTCAGTGCGACACCCACACCAGCGATCCACACAGCTTTCTCTTTTTAAGTTAAAACGTTTCAACATTCCTCAGAATGTAAAGACAGATAAGCGGCATGAAAACCTTCCAGCTGTGTTTTCCTCTGTCGTTGTTGCTGCAGCCGTCTGTGTGACGGCGGGAGCAGAGGGCTCTGTGAGCGGGCGGCTGGCCGGCCTCACACGCTCCTCCCGCGGGTCGGTGCAGGCTTCCCCCGCAGCCACTCGCGGAGCTCCTCAACAAAATATTCAAGCACATTTTTGTTCCGCCATCACTTCTCGTAAAACTGTCAATATCCGAAATCTAGACAGCTGATTTCTCACCTCAAAACTTCTCAGAAGTGGATTTAGTGATGAAATTCCATATGAAAACTGTAAAATATAAAACTGGTGCAGCAATGATGATGCAGTGAATAGTGAATTTTCTCTCTGACCAATCAGCAGTCTGTCGTGTTTCCACGTTACATTTTAGTATCCCTCAGCTCGCTTGGAACCTCGACGCAGGTGAGGCGATATAAAAAAAAGTACCTGGAAGCAGGTACAGGTACAACATTTCTACAATGGAAAACAAAACAAAGGTGAGTCGAGCCAAAGGGCCTCCGCTCAGACTAGCTTGGTTTGAGGGCGTGCCTGACCCCGCTAGCTGCTCGGCAAGCTTTATGACGTGTATTCATTGTGATGTCACAAGTAAAGGAAGTGAAGGGCTGGACTACAAACGAGCTGTTTTCAAGTGGTTCAGAGCAGAGCTTTCTGTGGGAGATGGGAACTCCCTTTGGGCTGGACTTTGGGCTTTTTCACTTTGCAAACCTGTTACAAGCACAAAAAAGAGAAATAAGTCAATAAAGGAGAGGGGAAAAGCCAAAAAGCAGAATACCACCTCTTTTAAAACAGCTTAAGACAAGGCAAGATCAATTTTTTATCATTTCTACGCATGTAATAGATGATTTCATAGATAAATTATAGCCACAGACTGCACTTCTTTAAAATCAAGACTCTTACAGAGAGGAAAATATTAGTGTATGACATGATCCCAGTCTGTCACACCAGCTAGATCAACACTGAAAATGTCCTGGAAAAGTCCTGGAAAATGGTCTCTAGAAAAGAGTGGGAACCCTGATTTTACTTTTTGGATTTCAGATGAAATACCTGAAAGTGCCGATATCATGGGAATTCATCAGATATGAAACTTCAACAAGCACGTGTAACTAAATGGTGTTCCACATCTAATAAACATGTTTGACATGTTAGAAATGTACATGTACTTTTTTGTAAGCGGGGACCAGGTCAACCTTACCGTTACGGTCTAAATGATCAGTCGATCAGCTGATTAACATCAGTCAGTGACAGCGGATGTCTGAAAGAGCCACACTGTGATGCAGAGCGCTGAGTGATTTTTGTTCACTGACAGGTCTGTCTGCAGCAGCGGGGATTGGCGTAGATGACCTGCGGCGACTGTGCATTCTGCGGCTCAGCTTTGTGAAGGGCTGGGGCCCTGACTACCCCCGGCAGAGCATCAAACACACACCCTGCTGGGTGGAGGTTCACCTGCACCGCGCTCTGCAGCTTCTGGATGAGGTGCTGCACACTATGCCTTTGGCAGACCCAGGGCCTGCCAACTGAGGACCAAAACCGCATTCAAATTCCAATCTGCATCCTGTGAAAGTGTGCACACAGACACGCATGTTTGGATATTCTTGCTTCAGGCCAAATGTGCTATACCATTTGATACACAAGCAAATCAATCAATACACACAGTAAACATAAATGACCAACAACACAGTATGCTTGTAACAATCAATACACAGATCACTTATTCTGTCTCACATACACACACAGTGTGACCGCAAGTGCTGATGTCTTTGGGATTGTTCTGTTGCTTTGCTCTCTACAATCTACACTCAAACACTAGGGAGTTGGCTCTCTCAAGGTTAAGATTTAGAGTTTGTGTTCTGACCATCTTGTCTCTGTCCTAAAGACATGTGTATGCACAGTAGAAATCCAGGGATGTGTTTCTGAAATCCAGTTCTCCTATATGCAGTTTGGATTTCTTCTAATTGTAGGAGCGTTCTGAACATTCATTATGGACATGTACAAATTCTGCGTGATTCAGCTGCAGAGGCAAGGTCTTCAGGAGTCCAAAACACTCTGACAGATAGCTGCACACTCTGGAACATGCTGTCAGTCAATACAAACAGCGTTAGACTTCTCTTTACGTCTTATCAACAACAGTATGGATTAAAGAAACCAGTGTTCTGTCATTACTGTGCTCTTACCGCTCTGTTGATCTAAACTCAAACTGTAAACATTGGTAGCTGGTAAGCCCTCTTATTACGCTCAGCTCAAGCTACATTATTTTTGTACCAAAAGACTAAAACGCCAAAAACATTTAGCTTGAAAGTAGTGTTGTTGTTCTTTGTAATGTATGTAACCAAATTGTTGGTGGAAATCACCAAAGCCAGAATACCTCATAACTACAGTGCAAAGTCACAGTTTAGTTTTCCTCTCTTCATCCCTGACAGGCTGAATCAATCTGTGAGGGCTACCAAACCCAACAGCCCTCTGACACCCTGTTCACTAAGCTTTGTATTTAGTTAGCTTTCTAATGTACCATGCTGTAAGGTGTACTGGAAGCAGGTGTAACAACAGGAAGAGGGTTACGGGGACTTGTAATGTGTTATGACAGAAACCTGTGCATGTGACACCAGCGCCTTTCTGCTCTCTGGTCTGACCGCTAGCCTATCATCTCTTACAGTTTGTTGGAACTCTGGGTTGTTGTTTCCTGTTGTGCAGCAACATGAAGGAGACAGCTTCCTGTCAATGTTTGAATTACCTCCCCTTCTTCTGCAAGTTTCACAAGTTATTTGGTCAACACATTTCTAACTTTAATTTCATTGTTCCTGCATTAAAGTTCCAGTGTGTAATATTTAGGAGGATCTAGTGACAGAAATGCAATATAAGATCCATAACTATGTTTTCAGTGGTGTATAAAGACTTTTTCAATTTCAATTCAATTCAATTCAATTTTATTTATATCAACAACAGTATAACAACAGTTATCTCACAGCGCTTTTCATAAAAGAGCAGGTCTAGACCATACTCTGTGATGTTATTTACAGAAGCCCAACAGTTCCCACCAAGAGCAGCACTAGGCTACAGAGGCAAGGAAAAACTTCCTTTTAAGAGGCAGAACCCTCGAGCAGAACCATGGCTCAGGGTGGGCGGCCATCTGCCTCGACCGGTTGGGGTGAAGGAGAGAGAGAGAGGCAAGACCTTACATGTTATGTTTTCATTACCTTAGAATGAACAATTTCTATCTACATACACCGCAGAAACGGACAAACTTCACTACAGAGCGCGTTTCATCACTACGTTGAATATGTACAAGAAGAGGTAGTAGGAGTAGTAGTTGTCTGGTTTATTAGAAGTAAGAACAGAAGTGAAATTTGGACAAATGGAGGACCACACGTATTATTTAGTGCAAGAGCTGACAGAGCGTGTCGGCCACCGTAGCTTGGAAAGGGAGGGGGGAGCAGTGACTGAGCCATTGGTTGCAATTCGCAACCCTCACCACTAGATGCCACTAAACCGTATACACTGAACCTTTAAAGAATGGTCAAGACAAGCTTTGAAAGTTTGAAGTCTATCTTATTCAGCATCGAAAGACTTAGCAAAGTACCCAGTGGGGTTGAAGTTGAACAGGCGGTGCCCCGTGCCGCCTCACAGCCTTCGAGCCTGCCTTTCTGTGCGGACTCTGGGCTTCTACATACTTGTCTCCAAGTACTCTGTTTGGAAGGAATGATTTCAGTGATTGTACACTGTACAACATACATATGAAGAGTACACACCAGACAAATATATGACCATGATTCACACTGAAGGAGGACACACCAGAGTTCAAATAAACTGGCTAGTTGTGAGCTGGACAGCATGTAGAAAGAGATCTGCCCTGCTGTGGTATACACTAGACTTGACTAAACAAAAGGGTACAATATAACGTTAGGTACAGTCTTTGGACACGTGGACCTGTCTGTACTGGGAATATTGTGAATAAATGTACCCACGCTTTATCTGTGGAGCCAGCATTTGTGAGATGAGAAATGTTGTTTGACTCTGTCAGGAAACTGTTATTTTGATTCTGCTGCTTTACCCAGATCAGCTAATAACAGATGCATATTTGTGATTCGTGCCTTTTGTTGTCAACAGTAGATGCACCAACACTGGACTGTAAGACATTTGTCTTTCTGCACATGACGATTCATGTGGCACATTGTGATTTGGTTTTCAGCTGTTAAAAATCTTTTGATGGGATTCTGTGGTTCCCTCAGGTATCTGTGTAGCTCACTGAAGATATCACAGTGTGTCAAGCTGGTTTATAGAGATGATTAACAAAGCACTCATCATACCTGAGGAGTATTATTTATTGCCTTAGTCTTTTGTGAGTGTAAAATATGAATGAGTATGCTTGGCACTATTTTAATCTCAGCATGGACAATACAAATAGATGTCATATTTATCTGTTTTCCTCTGCCCATATTCAGGGAAGTACAAGTGTTCAAGCTTTCTGAGATAATGAGCAAACTCATCATCGTCATCATCATCATCCAATCATCATCAACATCCTCCAATCATCATGTCACAGCTGTTGTTCCACTTGGAGTTTTAATCAACAGTTTGAAGCTTGTCAGGGTTACTGCTGTCTGAGGTTTTTATTTGAAGGATTCCAAGGAGGTTTCCTGTTTTATTTGGGAGAACATTCATTATTCATTGATTATTGGACTATTTGTCCTGTAGACAAATGTCATAATTTCATAATCACTGAACATTGTTTCCCCAATAATTAGGACCAAATCACACAGTTCTGTCCAGGAAACGTCTTGCAAACTCGTTAAATAAAGCATCCCAGTTTTTTCCAGACCCCTCTGGAGTTCAGAACGTTTGATGAAACCGCTGAAACTTGGATACTGTCCACAAAGAAGTGTTGTGTGCTCCGCCACAAATCTGTAGTCTGACCTTTGCATCTGAGTCTACACAAACTGTGGTTGGTTGATAAATATGATTGGATGTCACATCTGTGGTTTGATGGTATGAATACAGTGTATCAGTATAAAAATCTGTTGCAATAAAAGAAACTTCAAAAATTATTTAAAAAAATACTGATCATTGCAGTTATTTTAGTCTGCTGAACACACATTTGGTGTGTGAGTGTGCTGCAGTGTGTTTTTGCATGGACCAAAGTAAAGCCAGATGACGCTTCCCTTTATAGAAGAGTGTTTGTGTCTTTAACGGTAGCATCACGTATGTGATGGAGAAACTAATTACTACAGAAAACCAAACCTTGTCCAGACTCAAGCTCCCCTGACTCTCTTTTTGACTTTCAGTCATATCTCACGCTCTGTGGATGGTTTGCTCAGGCCAGGGGTCGGCAACCTTTACTATCTGAAGAGCCACTTTTGGTCAGAAAGAGAAACAAAAGACCTGTTTGGAACCGCAAAAGCTATTTTAGCCCTAGGGAAGGCCTCGAGAGCTGCAGGTAGCTGGCCCCTGGCTCAGGCAACCATAATTAAGACAGTAATACTCAGGAATAAGAGTGAGCAGACTCCATCTGCTGGTGAAGACTGTGAGAGGTGGGCGAAATCTATGAACAAATCTAGTAAGTGTGCCTTGTGTAGAATTGATATTATGATTGTTCCCAAGGACAAGAATGAACATTCATCCTGGAGTTCTGACACTGAAGAATAGGATGCCGTTTGGTTCGTGACAGTCAGTGACATATAGTGATGTGAGCTAATACTGATCACAACAGCAACACTGTCTGAAATTGGATTTTGGACTACTGTTAAGTAGTGCAGCTTGCTGTACCCACACACCCTTACCAATGGACTCCAAAGGCCTCTAGCTTTACATACTTTAAGAATGGTGCATTCTGGGTAGGATGTAGTGCATAGTTGCTGTGAGATGTAACTTAAGTATTGATATAGGGTAGTGTGCAGCATTACACCGCTTCTCTGGGCGTCTTTCTTATGGGTTTTATTTTCTCGAGTACTGACAGGAAGGACCCACTGGAGGTTTGAAAGTGTCTCAGAAACATTTGTGGCTCTGAGGACGGCAGCAGCTGAGGTTACAGTGGATGCTTCCACACATCCCATAAAGACCAGTGCGGAAGGGTGAGGGGTAGGGGTGATAAGCAGACAAAAACTGGATGAAGTCTCCTATGTTACACTCTGAAGAAAAATTAAATGAACCAGAATTTTCAAAACAGTTTTGGGTTGAATATTCAAACACTGAATTTATTTATTTTTATATAAATCAGCAAGAACACACCATCCCACCAAAACCACTGACTACCATTTACCATTCCTGTTTTTAATGTGCATTTAATTTAGCGTCCAACTGCTGACGCAAACAGAGAAAAACATATACATCATCCCATTCATAAAACATTAACATTCCAACACAATATTAAAAATATCTACTAAAGAATGGAATTTGGCTATGTTAGAATATTGTTCTTTTTATTTTGTAGTTATTTTGTTGTAAAGATGTGCTGCTCTTGTAATGTTGACTGTATATTAAAATAAAAGAAACAAATGGCACTGTCATATTTATACAAACGTTTTTAAAGTATTGCTACCAGTTGATAACTAACTTTGACTTTCCTGTCAGTCAAACATTCTGCATGAAACAAGACATCAGTTCCACTGCGGAGGGAAGATGGCCCCCTTACTTTTCACAATGCTTTTTTGCCCCATAGTAGTAGCCATATTTTATTTGAGACTGATGTATACAGTGGTGGAAGAAGTACTCAATTTTCATACTTCAGTAACATGAAAAATGTTACTCAAGTAAAAGTAAAAGTCATCCAGTATAAACCTATTCAAGTAAAAGTAAAAAAGTACCTGGTTTTAAAAATACTTAAGTAATCAAAAGTAAAAGTACTACACATCAAAATCTATTGATCTTACAAAACGCTATATTTTTAAATTCACTCAAGGCAGGTTTGAATACAACATTGTGAGTTATAGTGAATCACAATAAGGAAAACTGAGTCGCAAGAGGACAAGTAGGATAAGTCTGCTTTATTGCTCTGCTGTTATGGTAGTATCCCCTTCAGACCGTCTGACAGACACAGAACCCCATTTGGGACTTTGGGCATGTTAAGACAAGACAAGGAGGCGGAAACCAAACCTAACTGAAACACTTCTCAGAGCAAGTCTGGCTTCAGTTTTCAGAGGTTTGTATTCCAAAGCTCTACCAGCTGCGTTACCACTAGGTCACAAACTGGCTGCGACTTACAGTGCAAAAACAGAGCTGCTGCACAGTCACACCTGACACCGCAATGCTCACTACAATCCTCCCTCTGTAAGAAGCCTGAATGAAAACCTTTTCTAAAAGAGTCCAGTGCCGGTTTGAACAGACCTCTGCGCACTAACACAGACCTCATGAAGTCTGTTAAGACTGGGGGCCAATCTGCTGGGTCATTGTGTCATGTGCTCGTACCTTCTGAGGCTGCCTGTGTTTGACCTGGGTCTGTGGGACCTGCTAAAGACGTCTGGACTGGGTCTGTGCTGGTACTGGCTGAGGCTGGATGTGGATCAGCTGTGCTTGTACTGGCTGATGATCCAGCATCTACTCTACTGACAAACTTCAGCATAGCCCCTGTACATTATAGATATTTTCCACATTATCATCGTTATCAGCTACATCAGGCCCATTCAAACTGGCTCCTCCAGGTTTCCTTCAATACATTTTCAAATGTAAAATACTATTTATAAAATGACTGGGCTGAATATGTGATACTGAGATATGTGCATCCACATTGCCCAGTCTGCCTCTTTAATCAGCTTTTTAACAGTCAACGTGAATCCACTGCCTCCCATCTTGCATCAGTCCAGAGTTGTAACTAAATTTCACTGTCATTGTTCATTGTTTTAAAATGATGTATGAGGAGTGCCCTCACATCCTGTCTGGACTGGTCCCATGATGTTTCGTGCTGGAATGCGCGAGTTTAATTACGTGCGCGTGCATATGAACGCATTTCCACGCGCAAAGCGGTCATCTTTCTGAGCTACAGTTTATAAACACCGTGGTCCGTCGGTTATATGGTTGTATAACAAGATGAAGTTGTAGTTTCCTTTATGCTCACAAAAAGCAAACCTTACATACAAAATGATACACAGTATATGGTGGATAAATAACAAGTCACAGAAAGAAAATATTATATCTGGACCAGTGCTGAGGATGAATTAAGGAGTCTCACGGAATTTAGCTTTCTTAAATTTCCTTAAGAAATCCAGCAATTTCTGAGCTTTCTTCACCAGCGTGGAGATGTGAGCAGGTGACCATGACATCTCACTTCCACTTTCCCTTAAAAAGACTTCTCTTTTGTCTCCATACCAAAGTGGGTTCCTTAGGCGTCGGAATACAAAAAAATCTGCTTTGTGCTTAGAATCAGACCTCAGGAAAGCACAGACCAACAAGGAAGTAGTGACAGCTGTCTTCTTCGATGTGGTAAAAGCATATGACATGCTCAGGACAGAAGGGCTGCTTATTTAACTGAAGTCATTGGGTATTGGTGGTGGAGCACATCATTGGGTTATGGACTTTTTATTTGACAGTAAGAGTAGGAGCAGAATCCTCCTGTGTATATGAGGAGGAGGATGGGACCCCCTGCACAGCAGTGTATGTAGCCCACTGTTATACAACATAATTATCAGTGACATCTTCGCTCAGATTAAACAAAGTGTAGATAAATCTTTGTTCGTGGATGACAGGGCTCCATGGGTAAGAGACGTGTGTCTCACGTCAGTAAGAAAATGCAAGCTGCATTGACATGGAAAAATGGGCAAATAAATGGGGATTCAGGCTGTGTGATCCTCATCCAGTCTGTTAACAGACTGCTGGGAACATCATGAGACGAATTTCTGTTTTGGGTGGATTGATGATGCAAAGGCAGAAAACAGGAAAAGACAATTACAGTACAGCCCCACAGTTCCCTCAGAACAGTAAACATTGTATGTTTGCCTTGGTATTTGGTACATACAATAAACACACTAAGAGGACATAAGAAAGGCAAAGGAACGCAACAGTCAAGAACAGAAGGTGAGGAGTTTGACTGGGCAGTAAAGTTTATTCATATAAGTAGGCTAAGAAAAGTTTATTTATATATCACCTTTCAAAGATAAAAAGTGCTTCACAATGTGCAGTACAATCCAACAAAGTGAGATAGTTTAAATACAAACATAGAAATACATAGGAAAAACCATAAAGAGACAGCCATAAAACCCTTGTCTAACTAAAAGCCTGTTTGAAAAATGTTGTTTAAATTCTGCTTTTTAAAAGAATCAGCAGAATTTAAACAATGTAGAAAAGGAGTAAATGTAAATATAATAATGTATAATAATAATAATGTAAAGATTTGAGAAGAGAGACGGCAGCGTATTCAAAACCTTGGTAAACTATAAAAGTACTCTTTATATATAGATTTATAGATTTAATAGATATTCAGCAAAAGAACTCAAGATGTGAGTGTTATCATATCCTATTTCAGTATAACTTTACTAACTAGACTGACTAATCTTTTTAATAATCCACACTCCATAACAGCAGGTGGCGGTAATGCACCAATCCGTTGTTTGCCAACCGCCATTAAAAGCAGCAGCAGCCAAAGTAGTTTGGACGGTTATGGTTAGGAAGCGTTATTGTAAATAGATGGTTGAGCTCTTCTGTGAAAACATCGGTTGTGAAAGCACTACACGGCACTTCCAGCTTCACGGCAGCAGCTCCAGCGTTACGGACGTGAAGATTTAGCTGAACTTCCATACCAGCTGCTGCTAACTTCAGGCCCAGAACAACACGCCAGCATGGACTCCTGGGTTCGGTTTAACGGCCAGAGCCAAGCCAAGGAGCGAATTATTCGGTAACGTTAATGTCACGAAGTTTCTTACCGAGAACATGTGAAATGTCACTTGCAACTACAAACTGTAGCGTTAACGCAGTAGTCAAAGCTCGCTAGATAGCTAACACTAATCTCTGCTAGCTTAATGAAAGACCGCGGTAAGTCTGTCGTCTTGGAAGGGAAAGAGTGTGTTTAGCAGATTTTGGTGTTGTGCTACGTGCAGAAGTGAGCTGAGTGTTTTGTTTTGACAGTAGAAGTGCATCTTCTTTAACTTTAACTCAGCTACAACTTCCAGAGGTGTCTGACTTTAGTTACCATGGAAACCTATTCCTCCAGACTAGCCTGGTCCCGGGTCAGTCTGTCGATGAAACACGGTGTTCAGTACAAAGCTCCTCTGCACTGTGAACACCAGAAGCACATTTCCACATGGCTGCACTTGTTGCACACTCAGAATGTGAGCTGATCAGTGTTCATCTGAAGGGCCGCAGGAAGTTACTCCTGCCAACAGTTGTGCTTTTTAATTCACTTGAACAGAAATAAACCTAATGAAGAGCTGTGGCATGGCTGCAGTCCTGCATGAGAAGCATTCCCCAAGGTTTAAACACTGAAGACACACAGACAGCTGACCGTATTTCCACCATAATCAGGCTCTGTACTCACTCTCGCAAATCCAACAATAGACAACTTAAACTTCTAGAAAAACTGGAATTATTTAATTTCTTGCGTGTAAAGAAATGCCCTGTCTGGAGTCATATTGGGCACTTCAAAGTTAATTATACATTTCTCACACTGAGTCACAATTACATGATCACTAGCAAAGTGCGCTTCCAGTGTTCCTGTCCAGCAGCCCCAGTGAAATCCAGTGTGACAGATTGTAGGCTGCAGGCATCTAACTCACCTTTTGAGCTGCACAATATTGAAGTCTGCAGAAGTGCTTTTTAAATGCACTGGAATATTTCTCATCATTACTTTTGGGGTGCTTTTGTTTATTTGAGGTATGATAGATGAGAGAAGGAAATGTGGGAGGAAGAGAGGGGACGACATGCAGTAAAGGGTCTCTGGTTGGACTCAAAGCCAGGCTACTGCAGCAAGGACTCAGCTGTTGTACATAGGGTGCTGGGCGAAATGGCCAAAAATGTTATCGCAATAAAAACATTTCATATCATTCGATACCACATTCATACCATTTGAGATCCAACAGTGGATCACAAATCTGAGGTAGAACATCCAAAACAATTATGATAAAAAAATATTTCCTCAAGAAAATAAATATCTTAATAAAAAACTAAGTGCGAATTATTTTGTGATTCAAATGAATTAAATCAAATATTTATTGATGATATATTAAAAATTATAGGAAAATTATATTGCGATAATTATTGTTATTGTTTTATTGCCCAGCCCTAATAGGGCGCACCCACTAGTAGTGAGCTAACCAGCGCCCCTTGTCCTCAATACTTAAATTAAAGCTACCATTGGTGATCATTTTAAATGTCATAAGTACAATTAAGGTAATGCAGCAGACACCCAGAAATACACGGTATCTCCGCTTTAATCTTGAAGCTGCAGAGCTGCAGTCTCTATTCATTAGACACTGTGACTCACACTGTACATTTTCAGTTAAACTGAGCCTTATTATTGACCCTTTTCTCTATGCTCCGCTTGTCTGCCATTCGCCGGTCTTGTGCCGAGTTGTGCATGCCTGCCGAGAATTGCACCTCACCTTGTGAGTCTATTCCTTGTACTGTTTAAAAATTATATATTATTTGTAAATATTCTTTGTGATAAATGATTCAAATGTCCAGCGAGGTGCGGACAACTCTTTGCGAGACACTGATAGATCAGCCATACAATGGCTGGGCTAATTTTCTTCAGTCTACCTCGACTTTTCACAACTTTTCACGGTCGTCCACTAATCAGGTTGGTGGTTTGATCCCCGGCCCCTCCAGTCTGCATGTTTAAGTGTCCTTGGGCAAGACACTGAACCCCACATTGCCTCTGAAGGCTATGCATGAATGTGTGTGAATGTGACATGTAGTGTCAGACGACTAGAAAGGCGCTATACAAGTACAGACTATTTCCATTTCTTGTGTCCTGCACTCACAGGGCTGCTCAGTATGCCTGCACCCTGCTGGGCTACACTCTGCAGAAGGGCGGGGCAGCGGCTGAACTTCACAAAACAGTCAGTCAGCTGGAAGCACACATGAGCCTGACAAGAAAGTGTGAGTGAAGCAGCCGGTTTGAGTTCTTTTCCAAGCACCGGAGCTGAGAGGCGGTGGCTGATGCGTGTTTGTGTTTCACAGTACTACGTCTGGGAAACTCTGTGGAGGCGCTGGAGGCCGCCAAGAGGGCCATACACCTGTCTGACAGTGTGCTGAGGCTCTGCCTGACCATCAGTCACCTCAACAGAGCCATGTACTTTGCCTGTGACAACGTCCTGTGGGCTGGAAAAACAGGCCTTATCCCCAAACTGGACCAGCACAAATGGAGTCAGAGATCTTTCAGGTGAGGGAGTTTCCTGTTTATATTTAAATGACAAATGCATTTATAGCACAAATAATTAGCACGTGGAATAACGGTGACATGAGTTTGAGTGTCATCTTAAAGGGGACATATTGCACTCAAGCGGGTAGCTCCGGGTCTTGTTGAAGGAAAAAGTTTGGGGCTAAGCCAGTTAAAAACCCAAAGCTTTTCTCCACCATTATAAAAAATCTTTGCTAAAATAGCAGTTTGGGGTCCAAAAACTTACTGGGGCCAATCAAAAATCTGTGCAAAAGGAGTCTTTATTCTTTTACAAAACAAAAACCCGAGTTACATCTTGGCAGGCTAAAGATGAACCAATTACGCAGTTCGTGAACACCATCTTTTATAATCCTCAATCTCCTCCCTGTTAGGCAGAATTTCTACGTGATCTCCTCCTCTTCTTCGTTCGCTGACAGCACCCTTATCCTCTGCTGCCATCTAGTGGCCTCTTGTGTACTGATTTAGTTCTCGTTTAATTTTTTTTCTTTGTTAATTTTATTTTGTTATGTTAAATTTAGCTATATTTAACAATAAAACTGCGTTGCAACATTTGTTGTATATTTTTGGATGATCTATCTTAAAATTCACAGAACATCCAGAAAGTCAGATTACATTTTTAAAAATGACTAACATGTTTTCTTATTACACAAACATTTTAGATCAAAAACAGTGTAATACATTTCACAATCAGAGAGAGAGAGACTACACAATATACACACAGAGGTACAGACAGTGAAGGTAATGTTGCTATAGACTAAATGAAAAATGGTACAGATATTTATAATAGTGTTAATGGTAACCATCGTAATGTTAATAATTATAATAACAATAAGACTAGCAACAATAGTCGTTGCAGTAGAGGGTGTCGAGCAGGAACACGGGGGCAGCAGGTGACCCGCAGCCACAGATCCAGACTCCACAGCTCCAGAGCCAGAAAACCTGCAGGAAGTGATAGGAGAGAGACGAGAAAGCACAAGACTACCAGAAAGGGGAGAAGTTGTGTTAGTAACATGCAATAATGGGATGAGGTTGCATACAGAGGGAGAGAAAGTAGAGGAGAGAGGAGCTCAGTGCATCATGGGAAATCCCCCAGCAGTCTAGGCCTATAGCAGCATAACTAAGGGATGGTTCAGGACTCACCTGAGCCAGCCCTAACTATAAGCTTTATCTAAAAGGAAAATCTTAAGCCTACTCTTAAATGTGGAGATGGTGTCTGCCTCCTGAACCCAAACTGGAACCTGGTTCCACAGGAGAGGAGCTTGATAGCTGAACGCTCTGGCTCCTAGTCTACTTTTGGAGACTCTAGGAACCACAAGTAACCCTGCATTCTGGGAGCGCAGTGCTCTGGTGGGGTAGTAAGGTACTATGAGCTCTTTAAGATAAGATGGTGCCTGACCATTAAGAGCTTTGTAGGTAAGAAGAATGATTTTAAATTCTATTCTGGATTTTACTGGAAGCCAATGCAAAGAAGCTAAAACAGGAGAAATGTGATCTCTTTTCCTGGTTCCTGTCAGAACACGTGCTGCAGCATTCTGGATCAGCTGAAGAGTCTTAATGGACTTTTTCGAGCAGCCTGATAATAAGGAATTGCAGTAATCCAGCCTAGAAGTAACAAATGCATGGACTAGTTTTTCTGCATCATTTTTAGACAGGATGTTCCTGATTTTCGCAATATTACGTAGGTGAAAAAAGGCGGTCCTTGAAATTTGCTTAATGTGAGACTTAAACGACATGTCCTGATCAAAGATAACTCCAAGATTCCTCACAGTGGTGCTGGAGTCCAAGGCGATGCCATCCAGGGAAACTATATCTTTAGATAATGCGTCACGGAGGTGCTTAGGCCCCAGAGCAATAACTTCAGTTTTATCTGAGTTTAACATGAGAAAATTACAGGTCATCCAGGTTTTAACATCCTGAAGGCACATTTGAAGTTTAGCTAACTGATGAGTTTCATCTGGCTTGATCGATAGATATAACTGAGTATCATCTGCATAACAATGAAAGCTTATGGAATGTTTCCTGATAATATTGCCTAAAGGAAGCATATATAAAGTGAAGAGGATTGGTCCAAGGACAGATCCTTGAGGAACTCCATGAGTAACTTTGGCGTGCATGGAGGACTCATCGTTAACATGTACAAACTGAAATCGATCTGATAAATAGGACTTAAACCAGCTTAGAGCGGTTCCTTTAATGCCAATGAAATATTCCAGTCTCTGCAATAGGATCTGATGGTCAATGGTATCAAATGCAGCACTAAGATCTAATAAAACCAGTACAGAGACAAGTCCTTTGTCTGATGCAATAAGGAGGTCATTAGTAATTTTCACCAGTGCTGTCTCTGTGCTATGATGAGCTCTAAATCCTGACTGAAAATCCTCAAATAAACTATTGCTCTGTAGAAAGTCACACAGCTGTTTAGCAACTGCTTTCTCCAGAACCTTAGAGAGAAATGGAAGGTTAGATATAGGTCTATAGTTGGCTAAAACATCCGGATCAATTTTGGGCTTTTTCAGAAGATGAATGTTGGAAGGCTATCTGTCACATTGGCATGATATCGCCATAAAATATCTATTTGACTTTAATTGGCAGCAGACTGACCTTCTTGTTTGTGTGTTGCACTTAAATTGGTCCCTGATGTACCAAGGGATCTAAAATCGTGTAACACACGAATCAGGGGGTTCATTGGTTGTCGTTTTTGTTAATTTCATGTAACTTGTGTTTGTTTGATCAGAACCAGGAGGCCAGAAGAGGGTGATTGTAGAACGTGAGCAGTCTGAGGTTTAAGTTGAATGATTAATAAGCATCATGTATGTTTACAAAACAATTTACTCTTATGTCTTAAGTACATTTAACAGCAATAATACAATTTTGCTTCAAATTTTCACTCTGGCCTCTTCTTTAAGTTTGCATTTGACATAATACTATCTATTTATTAATTAAAATTACAAAAATAAAAGTGTATGCAACACAAAAGGCAATTTATTATTTTGGATGGCAAAAAATATGTTTGGCCAGTGGATATTTACATCTACCTCTACATTCACTTCTTTTATACAGTCTGTGATTATACTGCATTTCCAGTCCTATATCGTAGTTCTGTGACTCCTGTTAAACCGGCCCTTCATACAGGCCCTCAATTCAAAAATCTAAAACAAGCTGTAGATGCTCATATGTCTTTAAGTGACCATATATAGAAGTTACTGTTGGAAATATGCCTTTCCTATGTAGATGAGCGTCGCTGTGTGGCCCCTCTAACCTGTTAACATGGGCTGCCAAATAAAAAATGAGGCACAATGCTGCTCAGCTAGGCGGTGTGGCCTAAGCATTAGACCACGTATCCCCCCTCAGGTCTGTCTCCGCACAGCTCCACAATAAACACGTTCAGAATCTCAGTTGACCCGTTGTTAATAGCAGGCACGAAAACTCCTCACCTTTTGCACCGTTTTGAAATCAAAATGGGTCACCTACGTGATTTGTGCAGATCCGATGAGAAAATATTTTAAGGAAGGGGGGTCGGTCGTTGCTAAGACAGCATTTAGGCCTCTACAGAGTCCTCTCTAGCATGAGCTTTGCAACTTTACAACTGGCTCTGCCTAACCAATCGTCACTCCTCAATTCCTCAACTCAACAGCCAATCAGAGGGCAGGTCTTTTTTCCCAAGTCCACTGCACTGCAGAGTCTGACAGCTGAACATGCGAGGACGCCAGAAGACTGCCGAAACGAACGAACAAACTGTCCGTCGGAAAGCTAGGCTGATGTAAGACGGCTTACAATGTTTACTGTCCTGTCAGATGGTTGCCAAGTTTAGAACTTTGCCTGCTGTTATTTACCAGTAACGTTAGCTAAGCTAATTGTTCAGAGCAGTGGCAGCAACCTGTATATAATGTAGGCTAACGTCAACAGGAAAAATGTGTCGGCATCTGTGCTATTTACACTGGGGACACTGAGGACATGTCCCCATCATTTTTTGAAAGCATTTGTTAAAAATGCTTTGAATAATAGCAGCAACAGCAATGAGGGCATCGCCACGTCTTGTGAGCTAAGAGTATCGTCACACCCCTAATCTGAGACCTTATGTCCCCAACACTTTTCAACACAAAGTGACGCCCTTACATGTCGGTATCTTTCTCTTGTTGCAGTAGATGTATACACGTCATCTATACAACATGTAAGTTTAAAAAAGACCCCTCTTATGCTGTTGCTATGTTTCTCTGCTTGCGTATCCTCCTCACCTTTTTTTTTATTATTTTATTATTTTTTTTTACCCGACCAGTTTGCATGCCTGTAATAGCTAAAGTACTACCATCTGTGTGTTTGAACTCTGCAGGTACTACCTCTTCGCTCTGATCCTCAACCTAACTCGAGATGTGTATGAGCTCCGCCTTCTTATTGAGTGTGAAGAGCGTACCAGAGCTGCCAAATCACAGAACTCACCGTACCCCACCACCACCCTGCCCACCGACCAGTTGTCCTCACCCGTCGCCGCCTTGCCTGTTGTGTCGACATGGCTCCGCAGGCAGCTCCGCCTACTGGTGGCGGTACTGTACAACAACCCGCCACTGCTGTTGGACTTGCTGAAGAACAGTTGTGATATCTTCATCCCACTGGACAGGCTGGGGATTTACCCTACGGGGTCGGGCTTTGTTGGGGCCTGTGGCCTAGCCTCCTCTGTCCTCTCCATCCTCACCATGGTCCATCCCTGGCTCAAACTCAAGCCATGAACTCGGGTCCACAAGGAGGAGGACTGAGATCAGAATCTAACAGGGTTCACACACTGATCATTTTAAGCAGGCAGCAGCTGCTGGTGTACTCAGACCACATTTCCTAATCCTTCAGAAGTTTTTTTTTCTGCATAACATACTGATTACTGACCTGTGACCCGTGTCCACACAGGGCTGAAGCGAACCCATGTTGTCCTCATGTTCTCACAGTAGCCAGTGTTAAGTAAATATAGTATACTCTGTCATACACTGGGAAGTGATTTGTTGTTGGGTCTAAAGGATTCATTTACCACTAAGCTGTACTAACAGGCTAAACATCCACTGAATGCAAGAAAGGCTGATGGCCTGTTCCTCCTTTGTCTCCAACGGTGCACTGAGTGTGGCTCATTTCATTTAGGTTACCAAATAACGCATACCGACACTAAACCCAAATACTTATGAAATACATAGGGATGAGGATTCATTGTCCAACACAGCCTTCACAGAAAGAGCAGCACAGCTGTCTCCTCCATCTGCTGTCATCCCTTGGTATCTGCCCTCTTACCAAACGCAAATTAAATCGTTTGCTTGTCTCGCCTGAGTTTTACCGCTGGACTACTGCAGAGTGTTCACACACAACACCATCATGCGAATAAACACAGCAATTACTACAGTGGTATAAAACCAAAGTTAACATTTTCAAAGGGATCAAAACTATGCTGCAGATTTGTTAAACTTAAGAATTAATTTTTTGTCAGGTCTGGCAGCAAGACAACTTCTAAAATGTCATGCAATAAAATGCAAATTATTTAAAAATCATGTGATTTGCTGGATTTTTGTTTGATTCTCTCACAGTTGAAGTGTACCTATGATAAAAATTACAGACCCCTACATGCTTTTGTAAGTAGGAAAACCTGCAAAACCAGCAGAGTATCAGATACTTGTTCTCCCCACTGTATGCTTACTTTCGCCCAGCAGTCTCTGTTTTGTCCAGATTTATATAAATATGTAGTAGGTGCCAACAGTGGAACTGGAAAGACAAGTTGGCTTGCTGCCGAGATGTGAGTGAAATTTTCAACTCTGAGCTCATCCTGCCGGTAAATGCGGGAGTTTATTTGTCCAAAGGCTGCAGTGCTGCCCCAGCAGTCCTCCACAGCTCCGCGTAGCTCAGCAGCTGTCAGTCAGCCAGCGCTCTGAAGCCATCAGTGACGTCCAGACAATCTCAATGCTTATAGGCAATCGCAACACAGCGTCATGCAACTTTATCACTCCACTTAAAGAATTTTAACTTGCGCGAATACCTTCGGATCGCTGCCATGCGTCCAGCCCAACATGAATTTGCATCGTCTGAGTCTTTGAATTGACTTTGAATGTAATCGTTATGCGCCCAGCACTCACCTCGCGTTTGTTATGAATGCACAGTAAGACCCGCCATCTTCAAGCTTGTCATGGCTGTCATTTTTGATTGGTTGCCGTTTGATTTCAAGTTCTAGTAAATCACGGTTTTGTGATTACACCCAGCAAGTTCGGATCATCATTCTTCCAGTAATACATGTTTCGAGCCATCAAATTCCAAACTGTCAGAGAGAAATGCAGGAATATGATGCATTTCATTGAAAGAGAATCTCCACACTCAATCTTGTAAGGAGAGAAGCACTGATAATGGTCAGGTCTGCTGCACTTGATGTCAGCTTTTTCATGTGGCACCACCGTCTCGCTCACTTTGTGCAGAGTCTGAGTCAGAATGTTACCACAGTACAGGTTATGTAGGTTTTCCTTACAGAAATTACAGTACCCTACTACTAAAAACATGAAATACGTTGTCCACTGTTGTCATGAAGGTGCATACATAAGTGTGTTTGTTACTGACAGGACGCACCTTTTACTGACACCTTCCCCTAACCCTACACACCCCTAACGTAGCCACACTGCAGAGATGACCGTAAGCAGAAACCTCTGCCAGCATACAGCGCTATCATCACCAACCTGCTAATCGGCCGAGACCACTTTGGTCTGCTCGGGTCCGACTGACCTCTTGGTCTTTGACATTTTACCAGTTCCCTCCTTGCTGCTGAGGGTATCCTAATTCAACTTGCAGTAACATTGGCTCATGAAGCATGCAGAAAACTCATGTTTTAGGTGTCACTGTGTGACCTGAACTTGTTTAAAAAAATCTGATTGAATATGCATCCAACATAGGCAAACAACTGACTTACAAATAACCTGAATGGGAAATAAAAGAATGATAACAGAACATTAAATATTACAAATGTATTTACAGATTTAGTGACAACGGAGGTGCCAGAGTGGTGCCTTACATCTGTAACATGAGTAAAGTGGCCCATCAAGAGACTTCCAACAACTGTTCAGACTCCATGACAAGTTAAGAATTCACAAATCCAGAACACACACATTTTCTTAACCTTTAGTAGAACCATTCCTGTCACCCGTATCATCAACTTTTCATCAGTACACATCTACAGTGGCTTTAACTTTTCCACATTTTTTCACATTACAACCATAAATGTAAATGTATTTTATTGGGATTTAATGTGATAGACCAACACAAAGTGGCACATAATTGTGAAGTGGAAGGAAAATGATACATAGTTTTCAAAAATTTTCACAAATAAAAATCTGAAGTGGCGTGCAAAAGTATTCAGCCTCCCTGAGTCAATACTTTTGCAGCGAATAACGTCTTTTGGGGGATGTCTCTACCGGCGTAAACGGAGCAGAATACTTCTGCACGCCACACTTCAGATTTTTATTTGTGAATGTTTTAAAACCATGTATCCTTTTCCTTCCGCATTACAATTATGCGCTACTTTGTGTTGGTGTATCACATGAAGTCCCAATAAAATACATTTACGTTTGGGGTTATAACATGAATAAACGTGGAAAAGTTCAAGGGGTATGAAAACTTTTGCAAGCTGCTGTATGAAACGTTGCAATTTGGGGATCTTGACCCAAATATGTTACTCGCCATCAGTGAAAATGTACTCGCTGCCTGCAATAAAGTGCATGTGTGTAGACGGACTGTTTGATCTGCTTTTCTTTTTGCACAAACAAGACTCAAGCTAAATAAAAATAAAAAAAAAAAGGTTTAATTGGGGATGTTATTGTTACAAAGAGGGAGTAAAAACCAAACAAAGGGAAAGTAAAAACAGAACAATAAAAACTGACAAATGAGAACAGTGGCCGTCAAACGGACCATTTTTCCTGCTGCTCCAACATCGGAACACCATGGAATCCAGCTGAAAGATACGTTTCCCAACATGCACTGTGGAAAGAGAGCAGAACAAGAGTGTTAATGACAAACTACAGGTGCTCGTCATAATTAGAATGTCATCAAAAAGTTGATTTCTTTCAGTAATTCCATTCAAAGAGTGAAACTTGGATATTATATTCATTCATTCATTCCACACAGACTAATATATTTCAAATATTTCATTTAATTGTGATGATTAAAACTGACAATGAAAATCCCAAATTCAGTATCTCCGAAAATTAGAATATTACTTAAGACCAATACAAAAAAAAAGGATTTTTAGAAATGTTGGCCAACTGAAAAATATGAACATGAAAAGTATGAGCATGTACAGCACTCAATACTTAGTTGGGGCTCCTTTTGCCTGAATTACTGCAGCAATGCTGCGTGGCGTGGAGTCGATCAGTCTGTGGCACTGCTCAGGTGTTATGAGAGCCCAGGTTGCTCTGACAGTGGCCTTCAGCTCTTCTGCATTGTTGGGTCTGGCGTATCGCATCTTCCTCTTCACAATACCCCATAGATTTTCTATAGCGTTAAGGTCAGGCCAGTTTGCTGGCCAATTAAGAACAGGGATACCATGTTCCTTAAACCAGGTACTGGTAGCTTTGGCACTGTGTGCAGGTGCCAAGTCCTGTTGGAAAATGAAATCTGCATCTCCATAAAGTTGGTCAGCAGCAGGAAGCATGAAGTGCTCTAAAACTTCCTGGTCAGAGAACATAACTGTGGACCACTCAGCAGCAGTCCAGTCCTTTTTGTCTTTAGCCCAGGCGAGATGCTTCTGACGCTGTGTCTTGTTCAAGAGTGGCTTGACACAAGGAATGCGACAGCTGAAAGCCATGTCTTGCATACGTCTGTGCGTGGTGGTTCTTGAAGCACTGACTCCAGCTGCAGTCCACTCTTTGTGAATCTCACCCACATCTTTGAATGGGTTTTGTTTCACAATCCTCTCCAGGGTGCGGTTATCTCTATTGCTTGTACACTTTTTTCTACCACGTCTTTTCCTTCCCTTCGCCTCTCTATTAATGTGCTTGGACACAGAGCTCTGTGAACAGCCAGCCTCTTTAGCAATGACCTTTTGTGTCTTGCCCTCCTTGTGCAAAGGTGTCAATGGTCGTCTTTTGGACAGCTGTCAAGTCAGTAGTCTTCCCCATGATTGTGTAGCCTACAGAACTAGACTGAGAGACCATTTAAAGGCCTTTGCAGGTGTTTTGAGTTAATTAGCTGATTAGAGTGTGGCACCAGGTGTCTTCAATATTGAACCTTTTCACAATATTCTAATTTTCTGAGATACTGATTTTGGGGTTTTCATTAGTTGTCACTTATAATCATCACAATTAAAAGGAATGAACACTTGAAATATATCAGTCTGTGTGGAATGAATGTATACATTATACAAGTTTCACTTTTTGAATGGAATTACTGAAATAAATCAACTTTTTGATGATATTCTAATTATATGACCAGCACCTGTATATTGTGGTAGAAAAGTATTTGCGTGATTAAATACCACTGAGGTAAGTGGACAAATGTTTTAGGAATTACACATGAATGTTCATTTTGTGTAGCTTTTAATGGAGAAACCATCAACAAACTGGTTTATCCTCTGTGGGTTTGTAACTGACCACTCTAAAAACAAGTTAGATGTGTTTATGGGTTTATGACAAATGCATTTTCACAGAGAAAGCTCAAACTGATGCTTATACTGATGGAACTTGTGTAACATATGTCAATTGCCAAACTTCTAGGTTTGTGGTAACGTGAGGTAACGTGAAGATGCTCCAACCTGAACTCTGCGTCAGTCCTGGGTCTCCATGCTCTCATCCTCTCCATCTCCTCCCTCCTCCAAAGCTTCGTCTTCCTCCTCCTTCCTCTCTGGAGGTTTCTCATAGGCCTTCTCTGATGGAGTGACGATCACGCCATCCCATGTAGACATCTCTGTTGCCAGGTCTACAACAGCACACAGGTCAAAATATAAAAGCAACTGGATGTCAACAAATACACAGGACAGGTCTGAGGCTGCTGCAGATCTATATATTCATCTATTCCTAAACTGTTTAAAAACCTACATTTTTCTGTGGTGATCTGAATGTTTTCAAGGGAACAAAGTATTGGACAGAAGGTTACTTCAGCACTCGGTTTGGCCGTGCTCCATTTTCCATTGCAGATAGTACCCAGAGATAATAGCCCACAATGTAGCTCGTCATAGCGACGCCACACACAACTGCCGCAACGTAATGTTCAATGCGCGCACACACCAGCAGCGTTTCACCATTCCTCAGAATGTAAAGACAGATAAGCGGTATGAAAAACTTCCTGTTGCTGCAGGGATCTGTGTGACTGTCAGACCAGAGGGCTCTGTGAGCGGGCGGCTGGGACAATGGTGTCATTGTCAGTATAACTTTATTTTAACTTTGAGTGAATTCTAGTCATGTTTTGTACAGCCTGTGTTAAATGATTTTATTCCTGTGGCGACTGGGAACTCTGAAGTAGCCTACTGCGCATAACCTGTGTTGTGCTTATTGTTCGGATTCACTGTTATTTTGTCCTATAAAATTCCACTGAAGAAGATATAGTGCTTTAACTTCCCCACAATGTGACAATGGTTGCATTAGGCCTAGCTGTTTTATGCTTATTCAGTTTTCATTATTAACTGTAGGCTATTTGTTATAGACTATTGCTTTTATTTGGTTATTTTATTGGCAACAATGTATTTTAAAAGTTTATTTCTGCATAATGATTTGGAGTATTTTGATCATCAATGTAATCCTAAAGGAGTTATAACATTATGTTGCCTTCTGTCTGCACATTTTTGTTTAGCAATTACAATGTTGTTGAAGTACAAGACAGCAAATTAAAAATCTTAAGCCCCTCAGTGAAGTTCTTCATTTTCCATCGAGATGCTACACTAAGAGAAACCAGCACACTATTATAAAATGATAAACGTAATTTCCCACTCTACACAGATTATTGTTAATACTCATAAAGCTATAACCCATGATTCTATACCAAGAAGACGACCATTTAATGTTCAGCTGTAGACAAACTGGGAAAATATGTAATTAAATCACAATTACTTGTGAAAATATTTGTGATTAAATATGGATATTTTTTGTAAAAAGTTCAGCTATATGTTGAATAATATTAATTTTGTTGCTTTGTGTGTTTTTTATGTGGACATGGCTTCCTTTGCCATTTCCAGCTACAGTTGTTTAGTAAAGTTTGATGCTGTTCTGATGCTTTTGATTTGTTCTCATGTTTTAATTTGCAGCGCCACCCCCCTCTGCCAGTTAAAGTGCCTCTCACTGTCTTTTTAAAATGGTTAACATTTGAATACAAAACATTTATGGCAGCATCAAATATGGGGAACACATATTATCCCAGTTAACAAATTAAGGATGGGAGACTTGAACTTCAAGTTGTCTCTGATATCTACAGTGGGTACGGAAAGTATTCAGACCCCTTTAAATTTTTCACTCTTCGTTTCATTGCAGCCATTTTCTCAAAATCAAAAAAGTTCATTTTATTTCTCAGTAATGTACACTCAGCACCCCATCTTGACAGAAAAAACAGAAATGGAGAAATTTTTGCAAATTTATTAAAAAAGAAAAACTGAAATATCACATGGTCATAAGTATTCAGACCCTTTGCTCAGTATTTAGCAGAAGCACCCTTTTGATCTAATACAGCCATGAGTCGTTTTGGGAAAGATGCAACAAGTTTTTCACATCTGGATTTGGGTATCCTCTGCCATTCCTCCTTGCAGATCCTCTCCAGTTCTGTCAGGTTGGATGGTAAATGTTGGTGGACAGCCATTTTCAGGTCTCTCCAGAGATGCTCAATTGGGTTTAAGTCAGGGCTCTGGCTGGGCCATTCAAGAACAGCCACGGAGTTGTTGTGAAGCCACTCCTTCGTTATTTTAGCGGTGTGCTTAGGGTCATTGTCTTGTTGGAAGGTAAACCTTCGGCCCAGTCTGAGGTCCAGAGCACTCTGGAAAAGGTTTTCGTCCAGGATATCCCTGTACTTGGCCACATTCATCTTTCCCTCGATTGCAACCAGTCGTCCTGTCCCTGCAGCTGAAAAACACCCCCACAGCATGATGCTGCCACCACCATGCTTCACTGTTGAGACTGTATTGGACAGGTGATGAGCAGTGCCTGGTTTTCTCCACACATACCGCTTAGAATTAAGGCCAAAAAGTTCTATCTTGGTCTCATCAGACCAGAGGATCTTATTTATCACCATCTTGGAGTCCTTCAGGTGTTTTTTAGCAAACTCCGTGCGGGCTTTCATGTGTCTTGCACTGAGGAGAGGCTTCCGTCGGGCCACTCTGCCATAAAGCCCCGACTGGTGGATTGCTGCAGTGATGGTTGACTTACTACAACTTTCTCCCATCTCCCGACTGCATCTCTGGAGCTCAGCCACAGTGACCTTTGGGTTCTTCTTTACCTCTCTCACCAAGGCTCTTCTCCCCCGATAGCTCAGTTTGGCCGGACGGCCAGCTCTAGGAAGGGTTCTGGTCGTCCCAAACGTCTTCCATTTGAGGATTATGGAGGCCACTGTGCTCTTAGGAACCTTAAGTGCAGCAGAAATTTTTTTGTAACCTTGGCCAGATCTGTGCCTTGCCACAATTCTGTCTCTGAGCTCTTCAGGCAGTTCCTTTGACCTCATGATTCTCATTTGCTCTGACATGCACTGTGAGCTGTAAGGTCTTATATATAGACAGGTGTGTGGCTTTCCTAATCAAGTCCAATCAGTATAATCAAACACAGCTGGACTCAAATGAAGGTGTAGAACCATCTCAAGGATGATCAGAAGAAATAGACAGCACCTGAGTTAAATATGAGTGTCACGGCAAAGGGTCTGAATACTTATGACCATGTGATATTTCAGTTTTTCTTTTTTAATAAATTTGCAAAAATTTCTCCATTTCTGTTTTTTTCTGTCAAGATGGGGTGCTGAGTGTACATTACTGAGAAATAAAATGAACTTTTTTGATTTTTGGAAAATGGCTGCAATGAAACAAAGAGTGAAAAATTTAAAGGGGTCTGAATACTTTCCGTACCCACTGTATAATGCAACAATGTAGCATTTCATGGCCTATAGGCTAGTCAATTAAATTCCAAATATTAGTTATATTTTTAAAGTTATAGCTATACTCTATTAACAAATAAATGTAAAAAAACCCAAACGTAATATTTAAATAGGTAAACCCCACAAGTAATTGAGTTTTTACAGCCTAATAAAAGACAAGGTCCAACGCTAACAAAGTTTCTGGTAGATTTCATATTAACTGAACAAAACGTAATACAACCTTGTTCATAACATTTTGACATCGTATTAATTTTTAATGCGAGTTTTACAGGCCCTTGTCTTATTAGAATAGGCCTTGTGCTGAGTGTTTAACCATGTGATGTGTATGTGGGCATGGCGGTATGTTTGGTTTGTGAGATTGAGTGTGATGTAGTTTTAGTGTATAAACAAGTTCAAAGCAGACCAACAGAAACCGTGATAGCTGCCATTGACTTGGCTCCGTATTTGTATAGCGCCCTTCTAGTCTTTTCGACCACTCAAAGCCTAAGTGCTCCAACAGAAACTAACATTCACATACACTGGCGGAACAGCCGGCAGGGGCAATTCAGGGTTCAGTATCTTGCCCAGCAATTCTGCTATTGATGTTCATGAAAAGTTTTTGTATAAGCAATTGTATACTTATTTGGGATAGTCTATGCTATTGCAAAGGTATTAGCAGCATTTTTGAGGTTGTACATAATCATGTGTTCCTCCAGGGCAACAGCGACATCCACAATTTCTTTTGCCAGTAACTCTCGCTTCCTTCAAACTTCCTCTGAAGGCCAATGTTCACTCCTGATGAGCCTGATTTTAAGGCGTGTTGCAGCCTCCTCAGCACCAGTACTTCCCACATCAATGCCCATCTTTGTAAATGTAAATGCTCCGTACTTGTATAGCGCCTTTCTAGTCTTTTCGACCACTCAAAGCGCTTTTACACTACATCTGCATTCACCAGTTAGATACATTCATACACTGAGCCTAAGTGCTGAAACAGAAACTAACATTCACACTCATCCATACACTGGTGGAACAGCCGCCAGGGGCAATTCGGGGTTCAGTATCTTGCCCAAGGACACTTCGACACGCAACCAGGGGGAGCCGCCGACCTTCCGATTAACGGCCAACCCGTTCTACCTCCTGAACCACAGCCGCCCCGCTAGTAGATTTGTGGAATCTACTAGCCATTTATCTGCTATACAGCTCAGACAGCTGAGGTGGATAAATTGAAACCCAGAATTTGATCCGACATGGATAGAACAGACCACCTATGACAACTATGAACATGTAATACTGTGATTATAATACAATCAATGACAATCTCTTCCTTATCTAGTAGTGTTAGCCAGTGTTGTTAAGCAGTTGATAATAATCACTACATGGATGTGAGCTTCAGCTGCATCAGGAGCATTTTAATATAAAGAAAAGTAGAATAAGATGCCACATAAATCCATCCCAATATGATTGAATATGTCCCTGATGGGTAGGTCTCTCAGCTAAAAATAAACTGTTGGTAAAAAGGTGAATACTTATCCTATGACTGACAAAAGCCATGTGTTTCTCCCAGTGTGACAGGAAATAATCATACAAATGTGTTTTGCTAGGCAACAGTCATGTAGACATACAGCCAATGCAACTCTGCAGCAAACCACTAGAAAACAATCTACCACAAAACCATTTCAGTCCACAACAAACAACATAATCTAGCATGAATTTCAAGTTCAAAAGTAAAAGCATTATCATAAAAGCAACAATCATAATAAATGAGCCAAACAGCAGCTAAAAAAACCAATTTAAATCAGTTCAGCCACAATAAAACAATACAGACTGCACTATACTGCAATTTCACAAAAAATGTGAACCTTGGTCAAACCCGTTTAAAGATCCTTATTTTACAACCGTAAATGTTTTGGGATTGGGAAGGGAATATATTGAACATATTTCTAGGTATTTTTCACGCTTCCTTGTGGTTTGATTTACAAAAGAACCTTTTAAAATTTTCATACTTGACATACTAACAAAGCTAAAGTACTGTTTGTACAAACTTCTCAGCTGACATAACTTACATAATCAAGTTGATTAATGTCTTGGATAAATATTATATCCATATAAGATTCTTAAAAGATTACCCTAGTTTTATATTTGTGTAAAATGTATTCTTGTACTTTCAAGTATTTTTACAGCAACACTTGGAACAAGACCAATCAGCAGTCTGCCGTGTTTTCACGTTTTTGTATCGCCTCAGCCCGCTTGGAACCTCGACAGAGGTGATATGAAAAAAAGTACCTGGGGGCAGGTACAACTATTCCACAAAGGAAAACCAAACAAAAGGCGAGTAGAGTCGGTACTATGCAGTGGAAAAGGGGCTTTTGAGTGTCCTTCATTCCAGTTTAGCTTAAAAGGGATCATTTCACAGCCAGTAGCGGGGAGAAGCAATGATTACAGTGCAATGCACATATGGGCAAGTACTTGAAAAAGACTTAAAGCAATCAGAAACTCTTTACAGTTTGATATACAGAGACACAAGTTCTGCAGACCTTTGGCTGATCGCCAAGTTTTACAAAATTAAAATATATGGGGCACTTAATGACACTAATGTAAGAAAGTCAAGATGCATTTGCTGTCTTTTCGTCAGACTTATAAGGCTGTGTCCCCGCCAGGTCTGATGTCTGCCTGACATGCGCACATTCTTCTTTTAGAAATAGCAGTTTGTGTATAGGAAAAGGTGTATGCATGTTTTTTGTTTATAGTGGCAAGGAAGAAATGCTAGTGTGTTCAATGCTGTTTTATGAACTGTGCCAGCATTACCCCAGAAAGCCAGATCGCTATGTGAAAGCACACATGGTTTGCTGGATTACTGCGAGATCTCTGTAAGAAAGCGGCCAGAGACTCATTAACTCTTTGTTGATCAGTTTGACAGTTGTCCTGATTCTGTGTGAGACTCTGTAACACACACACACACACACACACACACACAGATCAGTCATAACATTCTGACCACTGACAGGTGAAGTGAATAACACTGATTATCGCACACCTGTAAGTGGGTGGGATATATTAGATAGCAAGTGAACATAGTGTCCACAAAGTTGATGTGTCAGAAGCAGGACAAATGGGCATGCATAAGGATTTGACTTCAACAAGGGCCAAACTGGACGACTGGGTCATGGTAGCGAGATAATCAGTGTTATTCACTTCACCAGTCAGTGGTCAGAATGTTATGGCTGTGTGCGTATATGCACACAAAGGTGAATATAGTAACGATCTCAATAACTATTCCTCTCAGAACAGTCTATCTTAAGTCAGTCTTGTTTTAGAGCCACTGGTGGTGATGCTGCAGAATTTGCCAAGGTATCCTCAATGACAGCGATTCCCATAGGCAGACCCAGGGCCCTGGCTGGGTAGGGGCCCCGATACAGGGCCGTGAATGTTGTCACTTACTCGTAGACACGACCACACAAGAAAATTGCATGCAGTTAACAACCATCGTAAGACACACTCAGTGCAGCCATTCTTTTCAAATGAAACAGTCCCTTCACTCCTGGTTTCAATAAACCACCACAGGAATGACAATTACCACTAAAAAACACTGTATTTTAAGCAGACACCTTTAAAAAAAAAACAAAGTGGTAACTTTTGTATTTCAAACAAATGGGACACTTATTAACAAATTTCAACAAAACTCCCTTCACCGCCTTGCATCAAGGGAATTCAGAGGGACGGACTTAGGCTGCTATATATCAGCCCGGACTTGCACAGGCGGCCTATGAGCCGTGGTTTAGTTCAGTCCTCAACTTCCGCTGGAAGCCGAACTGTTTCAGCAGCGGAGCGTGCAGCCTTCCCATGTCAATGATTTGTTTTTAATGTATCCATTTTGTGCTTCTACGACCTTCTTCACAGCTCTGTGACCCGCTTTCGTTCAGTCATCTGCAGATCCCACAGGAAGCATTTCAGAATAAGAGCATTTTGCCTGCCTGATTTTGCTGACACGTTTAGATTTTGTTGATTTGGAGATGAGTGCTTGCTTTTTGTGCTTCTACTAAGATTAAGTAGGCTATGTAGTTAAATTGTTTCTTTTTTTGTCTGTTTTAACTGTGTTTATGGTTGGATATACGATCGTGGGTCTGCACAGGGTATTTTATTTCAAAAATGGCTGCGTATTCCTGGTCAACGTGCATATAATCAATAACTTAAGTTTAGGCACATACTCTGATGGTTGTGGTAAAGGTAATTGGCTTCGGGGTGCTGTCAAGAGTAAGCCAGCCAGCTAGCTGGCAGTATCAAAGTAAACAAGTGTCCTAGAAATGCAGTTCCGGTCCTAGGATTGCGGTCCTGAAACTGCAGCCTCCTGTTCTGCAGCTAGATAGTACTCCTCCAGAGAGGAGCGGAGAGACAATACTCTCACACCTCTCCCTCACTCCCTCAGGCTGAGCCACCACTTTCAAATCCTCATATGGATCCTCTTTTTGGATGTTTTGAAACTTTCTTTGGTGTCATGAAAAAACCCTGGCCCAACACAACACCATAATCCCCCTTCCACCAAACTTTACACAATGCAGTGAGGCAAGTACTGTTCTCCTGGCAACCGCCAAACCCAGTCTTGTCCATCGGATTACCAGACAGAGCTCTGCATTGCACTTGGTGATATAAGGCTTGGATGCAGCTGCTCGGCCATGGAAGCCCATTCCATGAAGCTCTATGCACTGTTCTTGAGCTAATCCAAAGGTCACATGACGCAGTATCGCAGCGTTACTTGGATTAGTACCTGTAATATTACTTTTCTGGATATAGTAATCCCTTACGCTACTAGAAACGGAGTACCGTGTTACTGGCCAACACTGATCATGAGATCATAGCGATGAGTTTTCTAACCCCCCGCTGTATATGAAAACCTGTCTATACTCTTCAGATTGAAGAATGAGATGATCTTACAGCTGGCATCTCCCTCGAGGCCAAGGATCTTCCTGTAACCTCCGTGTGAGAGCACCCTCACCAGTGTCTGAGCTGTGAAACACACCATGTCCTGCACAAACACACAAACTGTTATTATCACACTGTCAGCAGGTTCATGCAACACTTTGATTTAGAAAATAAACTCAGAACTGAAGCCCTCAAACAGCTGCTGTGATCCATGCTGAGTTTGAGGACGTGTGCTACTGCCTGCTACATCATTATAAACAGAAGTTGGACGCCCCCAATTCCACACAACAGCAGTAACGAGGAGTACAGATTTTATCGCCTGCAGTAAAGAGACTGGACCAGACCCACCTGCTGTTCCAGAGTCATGACTGTGTGCACTCTGAAGTTTCCACTCTCACAGGGATCGGTGATGCCCACAGAGCCGGGCAGAAAGAGTCCAGCAGCCAGCATCTGTAGGCAGCGCCTTCAAAAGACACAAGTCCAATAAAAGCTTAGAGACACTGACTCACCTACAGTGACTGTATCCGAATGAACAGTGAAGGGAATGAATGAGGTGAGTGAGCACCAACCTGTAAGCAACATTCAGGGACAGCGGCTGCCTAGACGGGTTGTTCATCACTGCAGAGTGGCCCTGAACACAACAGACACCAGCCTCACCATTATGACCTCAGCACTGGTGGTGTACATATACCTATACACAATACCTACCAGGGTTGGGCGATATGTTCAAATTTTCCAAGCCAACAACTGCTGATGCTAGTGTATCCAGCAGATGGGTGTGCAATGTCAAGAAAGCAACTTTTCTTAAATCTCTTTTCCTTCTCCTCCTTTTCTTCCGTTTGGTGGAAATAAACCCTCAATTCACAGAGTTAGAAGTGAAAACGTTCTGGCTAGTTTTCCCCCGCTGCTGAATGAGTCGTCTGTGTCACTCGTTCTTCAGAGGCAGACCCTCAAATTGGCAATTAAAATTACAACAATTGCAGAAAAAGTGCAGATGGACTTAACCATTCCCTTTAGCCAACATTGTTGTCCGCCCAACCCTAATCCTTACCCATTTACCATGTCAGGGCTGCAGTCACAGATTTGTTTTTTAATCTGGCTGTGTTGTCTGGTCCAGTCGGGACTCGGGCAATGTGAAGTGGCAGAATTGTGGTCTTACCAGCAGGTCCAGGATCCAGGGAGTGAGGGGTTCAAAACCAGGGAAGCGCAGCCTCAGGTCCTTCAGCAAGCGGATGAGCACTTTCACCCTGAAGGTTATACACATGAAATCATCCAACAAATGTTTAGGTGGGCGTCTTCTGTACCAATCAGCTCTGTTAATAGAAACCAGTGGGCTACAAGGAGTTCAAGGAGGCTTTCTCACATTGACTGAGAGGCGTTCTCCTCAAACCAGCGGGCGTGGCGGATGGCAGCGAGGGCACTCTGCAGCACCTTGATGTCCACTGAAGAAACAAAAAAATTGGTTTTCCAAGCATCTCCTTCTGGATTTGAATCAGGGAACTGGTGTATTTTGTTTTCACAGTCTAATAAAACACGTCGAATGAATGCAGTGGAATGTTAATGAGACATTAATGCATGTATTGTAAACATCCCAAATTTTGACATGGTACTGTCCACAAGATGTAGGCAAGTGTGGAAAAAGACAGACTTCTTTCAAAAGTATACATGTTCATAAGTTATATTTATCAATTAACAAAATGCGAAGTGAATAAACAGAAGAAAAATCTAAATCAAATCAATATTTGGTGTGACCACAGTTTTGTATTTATTTCTCCAGAGTCTGAATATTCTAGTCAACATGTGCACCAAATTTAGTTGTGACAGTTCAAAAACTTAATTTATGTAAAAAGGGCCCCATCCTCACAAACTGAATAACTATTTTTTAAATCACTAATGCACTAGTGCCTTCAGTACTTGGCCCCTTATAGGCCACTAACACATGAAATATAACCATTAGAACTGGTGGATTCAACTACCCATACAAAGAAAGTTTGTTTCACCATTTAAATAGAACAAACTGTATCCCGGACAGTGGGGACAGATGACAGTAAATGGGGGGACGAACGCAACAAAGGTGTGTGTGTCTTGACACATGTAAGCTCATACAGTGCAGCTCAGGGTCCAGCTTGCGCAGGTTGGGAGGGACGGTGGTGATGAGGATCTTGACGGTAGCATCAGCTGAACTGATCTCAAAGCCTGTCTCATTGGTCAGCATGGACAGCACTGAAACCAGCAGACAGAGGCACAGTCAAAAGCATTACTTTAGCAATGTTACATTATCATTTGATTGGGGGCCACATCAATTATTGATCTCTAAAACCTTGAGAATTACAAAGCACAAGACACCCCACAACTAATTTACAATTATAAACCAAACACTTTTGTTTTTGCCCCCATTCATCATGGGCTATACTCAAAGATCTAAGACTTTCTCTATGTACACAAAACCCTATTTCTCTCAAATATTGTTCCCAAATCTGTCAAAATCTGTGTTAGTGAGCACTTCTCCTTTGCCGAGACAATCCATCCACCTCACAGGTGTGGCATATCAAGATGCTGATCAGACAGCATGGGGATTGCACAGGTGTGCCTTAGGCTGGCCACAATAAAAGGCCACTTGAAAATGTGCAGTTTCACTGTATTGAGGGGGTCAGGAAACCAGTCAGTATCTGGTGTGACCACCATTTGCCTCAACACATCTCCTTCACATAGAGTCAGGGGTTATTTTTAGGGGTGAAATAGGCCTTTTGTGTACATAGAGAAAATCTTAAATCTTTGAGTTCAGCTCATGATGAATGGGGGCAAAAATTAAAGTGTTGCCTTTATAATTGTGTTCAGTATAGATCACTGAATTAGAACGAGTACATTGTTTAAATCCTGAATTAAATGAAACTAATTAATCAAAATTGCTGCATCAATAAAACTCAATTCTTTACTGCTGATGGTCCAGCTGAACCTCATTAAACATCTGCTAGATACACTGGTCACAGTGGGTATTAGATTCCTTATAGCGCAGATCTATTTATCAGTTTTTCTTGAGGCAGTGAACAACAGTCCCTTAGTGTTACCTTCAGTAGGGTCCTGCGTGCGAAGGGTCTCCACTACTTTGTTGCCTAGAGCAGCAACTGCCTCCACTGTAGAAGGAAAGAAAGTCCTCATCCAACAGTTCACAAATTCAATTATAAAAAGGCTCTGAAAGAAGTGCTCCTTACTGTAAAATGAACAGACAGACATTTATTGTTCTGTCAGCCCGACGTTGGACTGATCCACAGGGACATTTAATGTAATAAATAGGCACAATTCACAAAGAAAAGGTGCAGCCATTCACAACGACTCAAGGCAGTGGGGGTACTGTAAAAAACCTAAATACATGTGCAGTGCGTCTGAAAGCTGGAATCAAATGTCTGGTCAGATTAGGGTTGGGTATTGTAAACCAGTATCAAAACCTGTACCCTTAAAGTGATACCAATACCAACAGAGTACCTTGCATAAATGCCACCTGTTTAAGCTATAGTAGTTGATTGGTAGCCTATTATTAGACACCAACACACCGTTGGTTCCTCTGATTTTTATTCTTCTTCCTCCTCGGAAATGCATTTTTCATTGTCTAAGGATAATTGAACCCTGATGAAAATTTGCACATGCGTCAGACCTGGTGAAAATTGCAGTGTTCTGTAGTGATTGGGCCTGGCCCCTAAACAAACGCTATGTTTTGGACAGGTTCTTTGATCTTCATGATATTTGGTGGGATTATCACTCTTTTTACAAAGCCCACATTTCTGCTTTTTTACTGAGATTTGGCTCAACAGGAAGTCAGCCATTTTGTGCTAGTTATTCAAGTTATTTGAGGCCTTTGGGATGCTCGAAGAGCCACGAAACTTTGCAGCCAGTCTTGAACTGGTAATGTTTCGATTTGATGTCATTTTGAGGGTTGCACATTGGCTCTATAGCGCCCCCTAAAGCCTTTTAAGCTGTCACATGGCTAAGGATAGTCGAACCCTCACGAGACTTGGGCGTGGTTTTGGAAAATTGTCTCAATAGTGCCCCCTACAAAATTTCAAAGCAGCCCTTGCCGTACGTTTTACATAGCTGTACGAAATGTTAGAGACCAACGTAAGAAACCAACGTATCATCTCTAGACTTAAATATAAGTCTCTTGGAGCCATACCCTAAACCCAAGAGGAAGCCGGCTATTTTGAATTATTAACAAAATTCTATCCCGTTTACACTCTCCGTACTTTAACAAACTCCTTATAGAGCTTTAACTTGTTAGACTTTAAATGTAGGCAGCGCGATATTAAGATCCTTGGGATGTTAAATTGAAGGGGTTTTTTTGATTGATCAAATGGTGTGTCCATGGCATTGAAGTTTCGCTATGAAAAGTAAAGTAGTATGTAAATGGTCATGAACATGGTCAAATCTGTCCCATTATTCAAATGTGTGAGTTCCGCCCTGAAGACGTCTACATGCCAATATCCTGTCAGTCATAGCAGAGTACGGTCTAGACCTGCTCTTTTATGAAAAGCGCTGTGAGATAACTGTTGTTGTGATTTGGCGCTATATAAATAAAATTGAATTGAATAGCAGCTTTAATGTGTTCCCTCAAGCAGGTTGACCAAATCCATTTTAAAAGGTTCTGCAGGAAAGCCTTAACTCCCTGATGATGTTGTGTTTTAGAAGACATACTTTATTATTGTTGTTTAATGTGCTGTTAAGCTTGTGAGTTTTCTTCAAACTCAATTGCTGTAGCAAGGAATTATTTACTGCAAAATAGGAAGCTGTTTTTATTTTTTTAAGGGGCTAAGGAAGCTTGAGGCAGATGCATAAACTTTAAAGTTAAAATAAGCCTCATGAAGCTACACAGACAGTATCTGTCTGTCTGTCATGCAACATGTTTGGTGGTAATTGTTTTAGGATGGTAGCTCAGTTCCAGCATAGAAAGAAGCCAGAAAAATCCTGACACAGACACAATAAACCATTTAAAAACAACACAAAGAAAACACTTAGAAGTGAGAATATAATTTATAATGAATATATGTGGTATCAAATGTACTGTTCAGCTAAATGATTGATGTACTAGTGCAAGTGAGTACAGTCCATGTCTAGTGCATTCAGGTCAGTATGAGGTCTTTTGTGGGGGGGTCTAGTGGGGGTTTTAAATGTTCTGGCTGATGTAGGAAAGAGCTGGTTTTCAAATTAGTTGGTTTGGTTAGGCATACAACGCCTTCCAGAATGGAGACGCTGGAAGAGGTGATGGGCTGGATGGGAGAGGTCCTTGGTTATTTTAGCTGCCCAGTTGAAGGTGCACTTTATGTACAATGAGTTGACTAGAGGGAGGTCACAATCACACTGGAGGTTTTAGTGACAATCTGCTCCAGTCTGTTCTTGTTGAGACTGTCTGAGCTGTTCAGTCTTTGCTGGGTCTTTTTGATGATTTGATTGCTGTTTATATTCCTTTTCAGATTGTTACTGATGAAGGTGTTAAGGAATTTAAAGCAGTCTGTCGGGGTTATTGATTGCTCAGACATATGAACCGGGGCCTTGATGTTTGTCCCCATTTGAAGTCTACAGCTATATCCATACCTCGAGCTGAATCTCGTGGTATAGGCCACTCCCATTTACACCTAGACTAAAGTTTGTAGAGGAAATTTTGATCCGACAACAAATTTCGCAATTATAGACTAACAAATGTTTGCGAAAAACGCTAAAAATAGGAAATGATGTCATATCTTCGCTTTGGAATGGCCGATCAACACCAAATTTGGAGCATTAATGTGGAACAACCCACTGAGGGCCTGTGCAAAATTTGGTGCCAATAGGTGGCGCAATTTAATTTGAAAATATTGTTCCTCTGTAACCACAACTCACATTGACATGAAACCAGAGCAAAATTGTTCAACATGGTCCCTTTACTACAGGCACTTAAGTTAACCCAAATATGCCCATAGTTGGCGCTGTTATTGCACATAAAAGACGTTAAAATATCCTATTTATTTACATGCATTTTATATCTATAACTCCGATCAGCACAAAACTTTGCACAGACCATCTCTGGACCAAGCTGACGAAAGTTTGTAGGGTGAATTTTGATCCGACAAAAAATGTCCCAATTACAACACAACAAATATTTGCGAAAACGCTAAAAACAGCAAGTATAACATATCTCAGGCATGGAAAGGCTGATCAACACAAACCTTGAGGACCTTATGTGGCATGCCCCCCTGAGGGGCTGTGCAAAATTTGGTACTGTTAGCCCCTAGTTGGCGCTATTCAAAAAAATCCCATTGACTTCCATGCATTTTAGATCTCCACAACCACAACTCCGATTGATACCAAATTTGAGGCAATTGTTCCCTATGGGGCCCTGATCACACATGACAATTTTGGTGCAGTTCGGCCAACAGGTGGCTGAAATCTCTCACCAAATCCCATTCATTCCTATGGCATTTTCAAAGGCAGGACGTTTTGCCTCTGTTTGGAACGGCCCATCAACACCAAACGTGGGGACCTTATGCAGCACGACGGTGGGGAGCCCGGGCCGGCTCGCGCCGGGAGGCTTGGACCCCGCTTACAACTGCTAGCAGTTCTAGTTTTTTTTCTTGTTTGCGCATGCAAGCCTATTTTATACAGTTTATGGTGCAGAAACATAAGGAAAAAAAGGCGTGCTCTTCACTTTCTTTTGGTGTGATTTTTGCGTGTTGGCTGCAAGCAAAACCATTCAATGTGTCATTATTTGCCACAATCTGGTTACAAAAAGTATCGACTGAAGTACTGGTTTAGCTGGAGACGTTTTGATTCTACTTGATGCTGGGCTGTTTCGGTCGATACCATAAAAAGGTATCAAGTAGCGATCCCCACCTCTAGGTCAGATGTTTCGTCTAGCTTCATGAGATGATCGCCAACTGAAATCCTAATTTTACCAGTTTTATATTTTTTATTTAGGCAAATTTGTACGTTTTTTTTTTTTTTAAATGGAGAAAGGGTCTTACTGTATTTCGCAAAGGCACTGAACAAAAGTATAATTTTGGTACTGAAACTCAGGTATGGTATCAGCTGGGGTATCTATTTTTTATACCTTCCTGACATTTCACCATGGAAAGCATTCATTGCAAATGTCTGGATTTATAGAATATAGAAGAATATTAAATGCGTAAAAACGTGCAGATTTACACACCTCTGTGTGTGTGTGTCTCTCTCTCTCTCCCTCTCCCTCTTAAAAGGAAGTTTTTCCTTGCCTCTGTCGCCTAGTGCTACTCTTGGTGGGAACTATTGGGCTTCTGTAAATAGCATCACAGAGTACGGTCTAGACCTGCTCTTTTATGAAAAGCGCTTTGAGATAACTGTTGTTGTGATTTGGCGCTATATAAATAAAATTGAATTGAAACAATTAATCGTTCAGTCCTAGAATGACCATAGACGGATTTGGAAACTTTCTTTTAAACAGCTACAGTTTGGTTTATTACATTGACAGCATCTTCAATTTAAGCAGATGACATTACTTTCTACTGATTACTCACGTGTAGGGAGGATCTTCAGGATTACAACCAGGTCAGCAACATTGTGTCCTGTTGTCATGGTGCCCTTCTTGTAAGAGCCCACCTGACGCACTTCTTCAATTTGCTATGAAGAGACACAGGTACAACATCATTAACAAGCAATGTACTAATACTGCGTAGTTCATTGTCCACAGGCTTCACATTACTGATTTTGAAGAATTCACAGACGTGGCCAACTAGAAATGAAAAATCCTAGTCTGCAAATATTTACACTGACCTATGATTTTACCCAAAATTGTTTTTTTTGTTTGTCACATTCAATATTTTTTTCAAATAATGCTATATAGTTTTCTACATATTTAAACATTCCTGATATTGTTTCAGTTCACATTGATACATTGTTAAACTGGGAGGTTGAGATGTTCTGGCAAAATGGTTGATCCAATCTTATTTGTCACATACATCAGTACAAGTACAATGTGTACTGACATGGTACATTGCACACAGTGATCTGAACTCCAATAACGTGCTCATCACAGTAGTGTTGGGCTGATGGACAATGCCATCGTCACGACCCATTGGACATTACTGAGCCGTCGTGATTGTGAAGCCCCGGCCCCCCCCAGCAAAGAAAATCTCAAATTTTCACATTATACCACTCTGTGACCAGTCCTGAATCATCCCTTAGTTATGCTGCTATAGGCCTAGACTGCCGGGGGGTGTTTCTGGCTCTAGAGCTGTGGAGTCTGGATCTGTGGCTGCGGGTCACCTGCTGCCCCCGTGTTCCTGCACGACACCCTCTGCTGCAACGACTATTGTTACTAGTCCTATTGTTATTATAATCATTAACATTACAATTGTTATCAATAACACTACTATAAATATCTGTACCATTTTTCATTTAGTCTATAGCAACATCACCTTTACTGTCTGTACCTCGGTGTGTGTGTCTCTCTCCCTCTCCCTCTCCCCCCCCCCCTCTTAAAAGGAAGTTTTTCCTTGCCTCTGTCGCCTAGTGCTGCTCTTGGTGGGAACTGTTGGGCTTCTGTAAATAACATCACAGAGTACGGTCTAGATCTGCTCTTTTATGAAAAGCGCTGAGATAACTTTTGTGATTTGGCGCTATATAAATAAAATTGAACTGAATTGTGAAAGCAGGTTTTAATGACCACAAACATTCGTATTATTGTTTTCCATATTGTCATCCGTATTATGCTTTCCACCTGCCTCGGAATTCTATTCTACCTACACCTCAGGTAAACACCCCGGCTTGCCCCGCCTCTCTCTGTCTGTCCCCCCCGGTCTGCTCCATTTTCTCCATCAGCAGTATGTTTTATAAAGTCGCCTAAAAGACTGAGAACTCGTCTTTTTTCCGTATATTTCCACCCAACCCTACACAGAGTCATGTAGGGTGTTAGATGAATGTGCAGTGACTCACCACTTCAAAGTTGCCAGGTGCAACAATCAGGTTGTCGATGACATTGTTGATCTTTGTGACCAGGGACAAGATGGAGGACTAAATGCAGGAAGAGACCAATGAACAGGGGTTTCTGACAGTGAACATGAATAAAAAACTGCTTGAAGAGAACAAAACAAAAATTGGTGACAGGGTGTTCTTGATCAATCAATCAATCAATGTAGGTCTGTGGACCAACCTGCTCTGCAGGCGTGGGGCTCAGGTCGTGGTTTCTACTCAGCAGACACTCGCTGAAAGCTGCCTCATCAGGTGCAGGTTTCACTCTGGGGAAGGCCATCTCACACTGATAAAACAACAGTCGTCATCAGTATACACAATACTGCTGTCCCGTAATTGCTCTGCTTTACTAGCCTACTCACACTAGTAGACTACCATGGTAGTTTTATTAAGGGAATGTGGTCTCCTGAAAACAGGTCACACACAGTTATTTTTACTCACCACATAAAAATCAAATGGGATGTGTGGGACAAATGGACGGTACCTAAACAGGAATGATGAAAACAGCAAGAGTTCATAGTTTTGAAATAATGACACAATGTCACTAATGCTGGCAGTACTTCTAACATTGAGTTGCTGAAAATAAATCAAAACATAAATCAACAACATAAGGAAGTAATAAAATAAGGAGGAGAACCCCCCCCCCAGCATTTTATACTTAATAGTTACTTAATTGTTTTTTCATATGGATTTTAGTACCACATGCAAATGCTTGACTAATTAAAAAGCTTGTTCTTTAATTAGACCCTGGTTTCTTTGGAGGTCTACGCCGTTTTAAACTCGTGATGCCTTAAAAGCGTTAAAGAAAATAAGCGAATAGCAGCTCGGTGGCTTACTCACCCCTGGACTAGTCCTCCACGGGACCCGAAGCGGCCTCCCCGGCCCCTGCCGCGGTCCCCTCTGGACACAAACACAGTGATATATCAAAGAGCTCACATACATTTTCTCGTTAAAGCTAACGAGTAAAGGTGCCGTGAAGACTAAAGCCACTTCTAATCCCACTGCGAACACGTCTCTAACGCATCGTAACGCTAGTCATTTATTTCTTCACCTAATTGATCTTATGCTAACGTGTTATATGTCAGCTAACGCTAGCCACCTGGATTGTTGAAACATGAACCTGTGTAAATGTACAAAATCCTCCTCAGCTCATAAACCATACCATTAGCACACCCCACGGCAACGATACGCTTGGCATAATGAACAACGCTAAAGGAACTGGCTAATGTTATCTTGTTATAATGTTAGCCAGTAGCTGTAGCAAGCGCTCAAACAATGCACGCCCGCCGCTAACGCGCTAGGTTTCAACACAGGAGCTAGCGGCTACAATCAACACATTACTTGCATAGACTGTAAGCAAAATCGTTTATAATGTTAATTCTAATTACCTCATTGCGTACGTCGTTTTGATTATTTAATGCGAAAATCCTAGGAGAACTGTTCACCGGCTCCGATTGCGACTGGTGCTGCTTTCTGGTCTTCTTCTTCTTTTTTTCCGGCAGTCTCGGCACTGTTTTAGTGCATTGCTGCCTCCCACCGGTATAGTATCGCCATTAAAGCTTTGTTACCTAAGAGCTATATCTTGCGATATAGACCTGTGGATTTAAGGTAGTTTATTAATTCCGTATATCTCTCCTTTTGATGTACCCGTCACTTAGCAGTGTTCTGATGGAAAATACCGCCACCCAATGTCATCAAAGCAGATAAGGAATCTGTACTTAATATAACCTTGTCCAAGCCCCCTTCCTCCACCCACCACATTGCCCACAATAATGCAACTAATTCTGCAGTGAATATTGAAATCCCGTCAGTCATTCTTCTACACTGAGAGATTTGAACATGAGGAACATACAAGCCAAATCTCATTCTTTTATGGGTCTCTTGACCCATCTGTATATGCACTTCTTTAGTCCTTCTTCCTGGTCTTCTTCTTCTCCTTTGAGCTTTTCTTCTTAGTTAATGGCGGATTGCAAACAACTTTTAAGTGCATCCCGCCACCTACTGTACTGGAGTGTGTAACATCATATCACTCAGCTATCAACCTCAATAAGGTGCTCTCATATTCTGTTCACCAACCCAGTGTCTTTAATAAATTTAAATAATGCCTTCCTGGTGATTTTTATACCCCTTTCTTCTCCTTCTGTTCCCAATACCCCCATCAGATTCCATTCCCGCCCTGCTTCCTGAACCCTATCTTGAAATATCTGTCTTTCCAACTCAAACAATATGCAGTGCAAAATGTTCAACATTTTCTTTAACCCCACAGTTTTCACATTTTTCACTATTCCTTTTCCCCAATAAAAACAAGGTGCCATTCAGTCCTGTGTGATCTACTCTTAGTCTTGTCATAATAATTTCCTCCCGCCTGCTCCTTTCGCTATAATTTTTATTACTGACAGACTTTTGTATTTTAAAGTAACTCCTTCCTTTCCTGTCTTCCTCCCACCATTTCTGCCATATTTCAGTACCTTTCTTCTTAATGGCTGTTTTTCCTTCTCCTTTTCCTAGAGGTATTTGAACTGTTATTTCCTTTTGTAATGCCTCTTTTGCTAGTTTGTCTGCAATCTCATTTCCATTTACTCCCTCATGAGCTGGCACCCAGCAAAACTGAACATTTATCCCTCCCCAATGTAATCTCAACAAGCTGTGAAACATTTCTATCAGTAGGTCTTCTCTGACAGATGTCATTGACTGAATGCTTTTATATATATAATAATAACTGCTAAGAAGTCTGTGCATAATATCACCCTATCAGGTCTGACCTCTTCAACCCACTGTAATGCTATAATGACGTATATACGAATAGCCTATCTGATAATCGTTTTGAGATATTTATTTTGAATTCTGGTATATGTATTCCAATTCCCACACATTCCTGTTTGTTTTTAGATCCATCTGTATAGATTTTTAGATAATTATGGAAACTGTTTCTCAGATAGCTGCTAGTCCGTATTCCCACTTCCTCTATTCCCCATCCTCTTTTCTTTTCCAGTATACTAAAATCTGTTTTTACGTCTGGATAGAGCCAAGGTGGAATGTTACTGACTGGATTGGGTGTGGTGAAATCTAATGCTTCCATTCCGTATTCCCTGACTCTCTTTTCCCCCGTCCATCCAAACCCATGCCCCCGAAATTTGAAATATTCCCAACAATCCTTTGTTATCTCCTTTGCAGGGTTTTCTTTCCCACTTCCTTTCAATCTGACCCAATATGCTAGTTTCTCTCTTCTTAACTCCAGTGGTGTCTCTCCAGCTTCTATGAGTATTGTGTTGATGGGAGTTGTCTTAATGGCTCCAATGCATATCCGTAAGGCTCTGTATTGTAATTTATTAACTTTTTCCAATGTTGTTTTTGCTGCTGCATCATATACTATGCAACCATAATCTATTGATGACCTCATGCATGCTCTATATATGTCAATTAGTGACTGTTTATCTGCACTCCAGTCGCATCCTGCCACCGCTCTTAGTAAATTAATAACTTGTTTGCATTTAGTTTCCAATTGCTTTATGTGTATTTTCCATGTGTACTTACTATCAAACCACAATCCCAAATACTTAAATTAATTTACTTTTTCCATTGGCTGCTGATATAGAAAAAGCTTTTCTACATGACACTTTCGCTTGTTTGTGAACACCATATAACAGGATTTGCTTGTTGATATTTTAAATCCCCACTTGAATGACCACTTCTCTACTTTCCCTATTGCTTTCCTAATGTTCTCAAACACATATGTCTCATTTCTTCCTCTCATCCATATGGCCCCATCATCTGCATATCAACGCTGATTTGATGTGTCCATCTAAATCTGAAAATATATCATTAATCATAATGTTGAATAATATAGGGCTAATTGCGCTCCCCTGGGGAATGCCATTATTTACCTTAAACTCTGTAGAAATTTCTGATCCAACCTTTACTCTAATTTTCTTATCTGTTAAAAAGTCTAGTATCCAGTTATAAATCCTTCCTTCAAACCCCATTCTATTTAGTTTAATAAGTAGTCCTTCCCTCCACATAGTATCATATGCCCTCTCAATGTCAAAATACACTATTATCATCAGCTCTTTCATTTTCAGTGCCTTTTCTACCTCATTACTTACTCTAACAAGAGCATCTGTTGTGGAGCGCCCTTTCCGAAATCCATTTTGTATATTACTCAGTAGTCCTCTCTGTTCCATTACATGTGATAACCTACGAACTATTATCCTCTCCAACTATTTGCATAAATGTGATGTCAGAGCTATGGGTCTATAATTACCAGGATTGCTTGGGTCTTTACCAGGTTTGGTAAACAGTAGTATAACTGCACTTTTCCAACTTCTCGGGATTATTCCATCCTTCCATATTTTATTGAACAGTCTTAACACTAGCTTAATTGACCTTACTGGCAGCTGTCGGAACATGGCATAACATAACTGGTCTTGTCCTGGGGCTGTATATCCCGTGCCAAGCAGAGCTATATTGAGTTCTGTTATTGTAAAATCCACATCTAAAGTTGTTATACCATCCTCCCTCTTCAGCTTCACGTCCTTATTTTCTCTGAGTGCCAGGTCTTTCTGTTGCTTATGAATATCCATAAGGTGATCACCACTATGCACAGCCGCGAAAGCCCTACCCAACGTCTCTGTCTTTTCTTTGTCTGACACCACCGTCTTTCCTCCATCTATCAAAGCTGGGATTTTAATCGCTTTCCTTTTCCCACTCATTCTTTTAAACATAGACCATATATCCCCTAACTCTACACCTCTACCTATGGTGGAACAGAACTCTCTCCAACTTTTCTTTTTGGTTAACTTAATTGTCCTACGTGCCACTGCCCTTTTCCTTTGAAAAGCAAAACACTCTCTTGTGATAAATTCTTCTTTAATGTTTTAAGGCTTTGTTTCGTTCTTTTACAGCTCTGCTACACTCCTCATTCCACCAGGGGACCACTTTCTTCCTGCCCTTTGTTGTTCTTTTTGGAATACTTAAATGTGCTGCATTTATAATGTGTTCTGTAATTTGCTTTGTGCATTCCTCTACATCACCTTCTAACGTCACAAGGTGTGCTGACTTCGTACAACATAACCTAAATTTTTCCCAGTCTGCTTTCTCAAAGCACCATCTGTTAATTGTACTTCCTTCTAGGAAACATACATTTGTGTTAATAATAGTGAGAACTGGAAAATGGTCACTTCCTATGGTAGAATCATTCATAACAAACCATTCACATGCGTTTACCAAATTATCTGATACCAGTGTGGTATCTAAACATGATGTTTTACCCCTGTTCACATCCATTCGTGTTCCCTGTCCATTATTAATGCAGACCAGTGATCTTTCTTCCATCCTTTCTTCAATTATGTCCCCATTATTATCTGTGTGATTGCTGCCCCATAAGCTGTTGTGTGCATTGAAGTCCCCACACCATATTTCTTTCCTGTATACAGTCCCTGCCATTTCATTCAGTTTATTGATATCTAGGTTTTTGCATGGGTTATAGAAATTAATCAATTTAATGTTTCCCTCTTTCCTTGGGCTATAGATTTCAACTATTATACATTCTGAATCTTCTGAGCTTGGGGATTCCCTGTAGGCCAACCCATCCTTGATGGGTGATGCACCCTCCACCAGTTTGGTTGTTAGGTCTATCGTACCTTATAGAGCTAAACCCTGGTATCACATAATCTAGTCTGTCTCATAACCAAGTTTCTTGTACACATATTGCATCTGGAACAACATCTAATTCATGAATGTACTTTTTGAATTCTTGACCATTAGCTATAAGACTTCTTGCGTTCCACTGTAGTATGTGAAGAACCATTATAAGCGTCCTAACCCTCAGTTTGTGTATTTCCATTTTCAGTTACCGTCAACAATGCATGTATTTGATCTGCTTTGATATCTTTCATATCAAGAAGCTTTCCTGCTGCTTCTACAATAGCCTTAATTCTGTCACTTTTCTTTTTCAACTGGGACGCAACATTGATGGTGTGACATATGAAACCCACAAAGTTCACTTTTTTCACTATCAACGTATCATCGTCAACTTTACATTTATGCTCGCAACCATTCTGTGTGTGAGCTGGAATCTGGTTTTGTGTCTGATTAACTGGTGTTATGTTTCTTTGGACAATTCCACTGGAGTTTTTGTTATTTGATCCTGTTTCTCTTACTTTCTTTAGAGCTTCTGCATATGATACTTTGTTCAATATCTTCACCTTTTGGGCTTCTCTGGCTTCTCTTTGCACTTCACATCCACCAAATGCAGCACTATGCTCTCCTCCACACTTACAACATTTAATCTTTGCATCCTTTTCACATTTCCCATACTCGTGCTGGCCCCCGCATCTAGCACACCTTAGCTTTCCTTTGCACTGCTGAGCTGTGTGCCCCATCCTTTGACATTTATAGCATCTGATAGGGGGAGGGATGTATTCTCTCACACTGTAATTTATGTATCCCATTTGGACTGACTTAGGGAGGGTTCTCTCAAATTGCACAACCACAGATAGTGTGTCTTTTAATGATCCATCTCGTTTGCTTTTTAGTCTAGTAGCCTCAAC